CAGCAATTTCCGTGACTTTTTTTTAAACCAAGAGGCTCTAGAAAGCTACTTGTTTACCGATTAAACACCCGCAGCAAGCTCGCCTGTCCATTGTCGCTTTTGTTCAGCAGCTGAGCAGCTGAGAATGCTTCCTCAAGCACCTCACTGCTGCTTTTTTTATATTCCGACATTTCTGATGCAATGATTGGTTTTGACATTTAATTGCCTATTTAAATAACAATTTGAGTACTCATTATTTTTCATCCGTGGCTTTACCTGCAAATACACGTTTATGAAAGTGTATTTTATGTACCGTATACGATAACTATTACAGTAGAGTGTTGAGAAACAAATGTGGAGATTCGCAGTCAGGTTTCTGCAAATGTCTTCGTGTTTATTAAAAGTGTACCAAGATTATCAATAACTTGTTCTAAAATGCCAAAAATATATCTGTTCCTGTTTAACTTCCTGTAAAAAATACGCAATTTTCAAGCAAAAAAAGTTTTTGACAGGGCTCGTATCTCAGCCAGTGGTGTAAATTTCACATTTCATTCATATTCATTGGACGGAGGTGGCCGTTGATTAATAGATTTACGAGATTTATATTTGCAATATTCTACAGTACCCTTTAAACGCAACAACACATGCGTCAAGTGCAAACATATGTAGTGACATAGAATCGGTCACGTAGCAGCATAGCGCTGGCTGCTGGCAGGGAAGGGGACCTTCAGCTTGCAGCAGCCCTGACTGACAGCAGGTCACGTGATAGACCAGAGAGTGATGTGGGGGAAAGTTTATGGAAGGGACACGTCGAGAGCCCGCTAGTCGGTTCCAGAAGGGGGGCGTGGCTGGGGTGGAGCCAGGCCACGCTGACAGTATAAGAGGGGTCCCGGGAGGGGAGCTCAGGGCTGTTGTTTGGAGTGGGATCCCCGTTGTTGCTGTTGAAGATCGTCGCCATTGTCGCTGTCGTCTCGTCGCCTTCGTCGCTGTCGTCTTCACCTGATATAGCGCTGCTAGACGGTAGTTGGCTGTCTCGGTTCAGCGCCGTCAGTGTCAGATGGCTAGTGTTGTGTATAGGCTAGTAACTTACGTAGAGTTGTGTATAAACAAGGGGGATAAGAGTGTGTACCAGCGTAGGGCGTGTATTGTGCAAATAGTGCTCGGCTAAATAAAAGAACTGCCTCCAAGAATTTGCGTCTCCAAGTAAGTCACTACACATGTAGTGGGTCCCACGGAGGCAGACACTTGAAACTTTGAGGCAACACGTTTATTATACACCCCAACAGGGTAACTACATAAACTACATAAACACTCGGGATAACTATGTGGTAATCTACCACAGAGCTAGACCTCAACAAGGTCACTATAGAAACGGGTCAGGTCAGTAAAGTACTGCCTGACCCACGATGTCAAATATGACGACCGAAGCAGACCAAAGACTGTCGCACGGCGGTTTGATTCCAGAAGACAGCCGAGAACGCTCCCAGGACTGCCCCTTTATCCTCCTGAGCGTGGCCTCGCTCCACCCTCGGCCACGCCCCCTTCGGGATCTTCCCAGAAGGTTCTGGGACCTTACATCACCTATCCCTTTGGTCCCCTTCTGGCCCCCGCCCTTATCCTCTGCAGGTCACGTGCCCTCTTGGGTTCACCGAGACTGTCACATATGCCATACGTACTCTGGTGACAGAGAGGGGCTCTAAGATGCACAGTTACACTCTTCACTCAGTAGCTGGCGCAACGCCATAGTGACTCAATATACGTCACTACACATGTAATGCAATAATCATACGGTATCGTAGTACGAGTTTAGTTGACGTGACAAATGTCAACATTCACTTTTATTTTCTCTTGGTGTCAACATACATGCATTTGTACGGTGGACACCCTTGCAAACGAGATATTCCAGCTCAGAGCCGGCCCAGCCACTAAGCGACCCTTGCAATTGCAAAGGGCCCCGTGGCCAGCAAAGGGCCCCCTAGAGTCACTACTAGCTAGTGGGTGAAAAAAATCATACATCAAAGGGGCCTCCAACCAAATTTTGCTTAGGGCCCCCAAAGGTCTAGGGCCGGTTCTGTTCCAGCTCAAGGGATTTTCCGCATACATTTACGAAGTGAAGAAGAAGGAAACAAGGTTGATAAGATAACTAATGTGGGGTGCAAGTTGGTTCAGATAAAAACCGGTCTGGCATATTGGCAACTCATTCGACGTGTCCGTTGTGGTCATGTGATATATTGGGGGTGGTTTCTGTCGTCCCAGGGGAAAGAACTTACTATAGGGGCAAATGTGAGCACAGTACCATCTACATATACATTTTCCATGACGCAAATTAATGTATTTGTTTTGATATTTATGATATAACTCAGCTTCATATTTGGACCCGTATTTAAAAAAAAAATCGGCGGTCCTTGTCGATAAAATCAGATATTTCACTATCATTGACTCAAGCAATCCCGACTTGCTGACACTGTTGAAATCGGTGCACGGTTTGCTTGCATTGAATCAATACTGCTAAAATTATTAACTCCCACGCTGTTGAGCCGATGATATGTGTAAGTTGTATTTTTATGTGGCGAGACATTTAAACATTTTTTTTACGTTTTTTATGTGACCAGGTAAGGCCCACTTAGTTATATCGCTCTTTTTCAGACGCGATCTGGCCACATGATGGTTAAACGACGTGTGGAAATGTATAGCAGCCAAATACTTTAAACGCATGGTTGTTCACCTTTACTGCAGCTTGTATGTTAATCAAATATGTTACTAAATACACATGTTAATTTAATATTATAAAAAATATATTGCCGGTATCGACATTTACATCCATTAATCTGTCTTCGTTAAAGAAAAATCCACGTGCTGCGCCGTAATTAGTTAATTACAAAAATTGTAGCCATGCACCATAGATGATAACATGCACACCACACAAATAATCTCCGACTGAATCAGGTGGTGACTGCGAGTTGACAACGAATGGAAAATCGTTGACATATTTTACATCTTCTTGGTTCTTTCGGTAAAGTCACGTAGAAGGGAAAAAAATAAAAACAATTCTCACACCTGATGATGATTGCCAGTGTTGCAATCTAAACGTCGTGATAATTATATTGTTTTATTTTTGTTATTTTCTCACACCTTACGATGATTGCTTGTGTTGCAATCGAAACATCGTGAGAATTGTATTGTTTTATTTTTAAAATTTATTTTTTTTCCCTTCTACGTGACTTTACCGAAATAACCGAGAATATTAATCCCTGTAGTCACGAAATCTTTAAATCGAAATATTTTACATCTTCACAGCCTCTTCGTTACTGCGAACAATTGGGGCTCGCTCGCCGAGTGCAAGTGGCTATCGCTTCCCTCCCCCACTGCTTAATCTCAGCCCCATTGCTCCGACGTGGTAAATGAACACGTGCAGCCCTTTGATCTTATCCACTGCTGGATGGGATGAAGGGGGGGGGGGGGCTCTTGGAGCCACGCAATGTGTGACTGGGATGACTGAGCGGGCCATGCGGTTTATTTGCGTTTCAAGAGTGCTCTGTATTGCATTGGATCATGTAGGGACCTTTACCGAAAGAACGTAAACTTTTTACGTTGTTTATGTTTCATTTGCAAGTGCTATTTAAGGGCCATTGCCCGAAACATCGCCTATGTGTGTAGTTTGCCTTTTTCGGCCAGCCGATATTGTTTTTTTGTTGTGCTCGTGCACAACCTGCCAACGCAGCAGCAGCATAATTAAATATGTAATGATGTGGTTTAATAATCTTTTGAGGAGCTATTTTGTTGTTATACATCGCACAATTCACAAATCAATGTCACGACCAGCTGTCACCCGCTGTGACGTCATCTCACCATTTAGCACGATGACGTCACGCGCTCATGTGACGCGCATGCGTCCGACAATGTGAACCGCCTCAAATCGTCCTATGGCTCTCGCGAAACTCCGCCGGTGTTTAAAGTTAAATCGCGAGCCCGACAAATGAATCGCCTCCTCGTGCAATAGGTACGTACAAAGCCATTTCTCCTCGCGTAATGGTCGGTTTTTTTTTTACCTTTTACGGGCGACAAATATAACCGCTGCGTTGTGTGTCGACAAACAAGTCTGGCCGTGTGAAGTGGGAAGGCCTTCCGCGTTATGACGTCACTGGCGTTTAATGCGCTTTGTGACGTCATTGTATCAGAATATTACTGGCAGGAACCTCCTGGTGACACCAGCCCACAGGGGATTATTGTGTCCGTCGTGCAGGGAGGGGCTGGGTGGGGAGGGGCAGGGTGGGGAAGAGCTGGGTGGGGAGGGGATGGTGGGGAGGGGCTGGGTGGGAGGGGTGGGACTGGGTGGGGAGTGGATGGTGGGGCTGGGTGGGGAGGGGCTGGGTGGGAGGGGTGGGACTGGGTGGGGAGGGGATGGTGGGGCTGGGTGGGGAGGGGCTGGGTGGGAGGGGTGGGGCTGGGTGGGGAGGGGCTGGTCACCCCGTGGTGCCCTTATAAAACTCAACGTTTAACCTACTCACGCCGGCTTGTGCCCGCCCTCACAGTCGGGCATATTTGCGGAATACACCACGCCGCCGTTGACCCTGGCCATTGACCGAGCAACCCAACGTTCCTACCAGCTCCCTCCGCAGGAATGTGTTGATGCTGAAGGAATCCGATGAGCTACAAAGCTCTTCACAGATGTCCAGTAGGGGCGGGTCAGAACGTTACGACAAACAATACAAACATAGGATCGGAGTAAAAAAGCATACGAAAGTTAGACAAATCACTTTCAAAAAGACACACAACTAAAACTTTGTTTTAATCTTACCAGTTAAAGCCCCACGGAGCTTATTAACTTATTTAGCAGAAGCAACCTGGCCAAACAATAATAACACAACAAAAGTGACCGAATTATGGCGTGAACATTTATTCGACAGGCTCGATGACGCAATCGTTCGAAGCGATGAAGTGACGTCACGCCCGCGGAGGCGAGCGAAGCGAGGTGGGGCCGAGGGGAGGGGGGGGGCCCGAGGGGAGGGGGTTGTGAGGGGGCTGTAGTGGGGGGGAGGTGACAGAGAGCGAAGCCACGCCCCCCCCCACCACCGCTGCTCGCGCCAGGCCGCGCATGGGTCTCGCGCGCGCCTCCCATTGGCGGAGGCTGCTCGAGCGGTTCCGTGGCGCGAGCGCCTCGTCCAATGGGGAGCTGGCGAGGCCAGGCCCCCGCGTGACGTCACTCGCACGCCGCACGTGTCACGATCAGCTGCTGCTGCGACTGCTGCCACTGCCGCGGCTGCTCAAAGCGGAGTCGCGACCGGCCAGGTGAGTGGGTAGAGATGGATAGATTCGTGACTGGGATATGCGGTTCATTATATATTGTTATTTGCGGCCGCTGTTTGCCACGTTGCTATAATAGAGTCGGCCGCCACCGGGTCTCCCCGCCGTGGTTGAGGCGTCGCTTGTGGTCGACCCAGCAACTCTCATCCGCTCCCCCCCCCCCCCCCCCCATTTGCGTTGTCTATAGATGTTATCCATCTCCTCTTCGCCTTTCTTTCGTCTTCCTGCTGTCGTTTTAAACGACTCCGTTCATGACCATTCCCTCAGCATATGCCCGGTTGCAGGCTCACTCTTGGCTCTGCTCGCTTTGTGGACGATACTTTTGCCTCCCCAATTGTGTTTGGGATCGTCCTCAATTGCCTTGTTAGCTCTCGTTCACAGTTCTGCTCTTTCAAGCATTTTCTCTTCCTGCCCAGCTTTCTGCTCCGTAAAACTAAAAATCTCCACACATCCGTCAATAACACTGCCTTTAACACATCAATGTGAGTGCTATTAATAAGGGTCCTTGCCCGAAACGTCACCGCTTATACATTGCACAACAACGCAGTGTTGTTGGTATGGGTTGTGGTGTTGGTTATTTGTGCTTGTGCGCCACTGCCAACGTCTCGTGTTCAAATTATATCACCGATTTGTTTATCTTTCGATTTAAAGCTTTCGTGACTGCAGGGATTCATCTTCTTGGTTCTTTCGGTAAAGTCACGTAGAAGGGAAGTAATAAAATAATAAAAAGAAAACAATAAAAGAAAACAATTAAATAATTCTCACATAATTATTTTATTGTTTTATTTTTATTATTTTATTACTTCCCTTCTACGTGACTTTACCGAAAGAACCAAGAAGTTGTATATTTTTGCTTGAAGTTTCATTGTCATTTTCTTTCCACGTACTATTCCAGTCCATTGCAGCCTTGTGTCCACATCCGCCCTGTTACAGTATTTGGATACACATTTTTTACGTAATTTTATTAAGCAATTACTTGAATCAACTCGTGTGCAGTTTCTGGTTAGATTATTACGTCACATGATCGTGCGAGATAGCGGTAGGCTTGTGCAGGATTTCACCCAGCACTGGATTGATCATGGCTTATTTAATAACCCAGTTTATAAATCTGTACAATAAATGTAACTCGTTCTTATTGGCCACTTCCCATAGACCTCGAACACCCTTCCTCCACAAGTCTGTCCGTTCTTCTGCCTGCCCCCTGTTCAACTCAAGACTCAAGACCTCGTCTCAAACCGCATTTGTGTGCAGACAGGGGATGTTCCTAAATCTGGACTTTATTTGGGCCATCATTGTCTGGAATACGCAACCAACATAATTGGCATTTGTACAGCATCTAAATGCACCTGTACCTCTTGGCATATAAAAGAGGCTAAAATGGAAAGTCCCGAGCCTGGGTTTGATTAGTGGCAGGAAGTTAAATAGCACAGGTGGCTGTGAGAATGAAGTGCCATCCAACTCAATCAAGGCAGGAAATGAGATTGAGTGACCTTTGTTACTGGAGTGTGGAGTGCTTAGAAGGGAAGTGAAAATGAGAGGTGGGACAAAGGTCGGATAGAGTCCATGTAGGATCTTGAAAATGGTGAGCATAGTGTTTATGTTTGGGTGTTGGATTGGGGACCAGTGGAGAGGAGCGATTGGCTGCGATGGAAACATCGTTTTTCAACTCACCTGTAATGAACAAGTAATACCTTACCTTTTCAGGCGATGACCTTTGTTAAGAGGAGAGAATAGCCGTGTAATTAGCCCCTAGGGAAATTGGAATAAGTGTGTGTGCATGCGTGCTCAGTTTCAGATTTTGGAGCAGCATTTGCGACCCATACCCAGCAACCATGAGCAATGACAAGAAGCAACAGGCCAAGGCGGACACCCAGGCATTTGACCAGCTCTTTGGGCAGCTTGCAGCTGATCTCACCCAGGCTGACCTCGATCACCCTGAGATTGGTGACGCCATCAAGAGGCTCAAGGAGGTGAGGCATTAAGGAGGGGGAGAATTGCAGCTCTCCGATGTGTTTTCGGGTTGCACCGACATTTTGCTGGGGAAGTGTCTTCACTTCGGTTTTTCGAGCTTTCTGGACTTAATATCCTGAAAAAGTTGCCTCCACGTAGAGCTTAAATTCGTACATCATCGTATAAAAACCTACATTCCCGCTCGCAAGTATCTACGTGAGTGGAGCAGTTAGCCCAACCCTTTCCCCTTCCCAGAACCCAGGAACACTTTTTATAATCTGTGCCTTTTACTGGGCTCTGGTCAAATAATAAAACACGTCATGCCGAACAACCCAGAAACATCGACGTCAGATCCTTACAGCACAACCGTGAAAATATACACTGTATGAATAGTGATTTTTGTCACTGCTGCAGCATTGGGTGACCTGGTTGAAATACTCGGCTCATTGGGGGAGGGGAATATTTGCTTGTTGGATGTCACTGTGTGAAATCTGAAATTCAGGTTCTGGAGTACAACGTGCCGGGAGGGAAACGTAACCGCGGACTCTCTGTGATCGCCTCATTCCGTGAGCTGGCCAGTACGTCACAGCACACGGAGGAGAATGTCACGCGAGCACTGGTCGTGGGCTGGTGCGTCGAGCTGGTAAGCCGCCGTACACAACAGCTGTGAGCAGGCACAGTGGCGCACGCCTGCAATACGGCAATTTGGAGACGAGGGTTGGTGGATACTTGTGGAATACTAAAAACTGCTGGTTTGTGAGTGGCCAAAAGGTGGCACGACAGCCCAAGTGGGTCCATGCGTGCAATTTTTCCCTTTCGTACTGTACAGATTCCTCCCACGTGAAAACATTCATTGAAAAGGAATTGGTCACATCACAATGTCGTTTTTTTTTCTTCAGAAAAACGTACAGTGTATGTGATTTTATACTGCAAAAGTGTTTTTAAATGCAGTGTGAAGTTAACGACTTGGTGTCATTCTTGCAGCTCCAGGCATTTTTCTTGGTAGCCGATGACTTGATGGATCAGTCGACGACAAGAAGAGGACAGCTGTGCTGGTACAAGAAGGTATACGTTTGCCAGCAGCATAGCTTTTAAGAAAATTATTGTTTTGCCTTGAGCTCCATTGGTGCTTTTGTGTTTAACATACATTTGCGTAGCTAATTGAACCGTGCTTTGTGTTGGCAGGAGAACGTAGGCAATGATGCCGTCAACGATTCCTTTCTTCTGGAGGCCACCATTTACAGGTTGCTGAAAAAATATTGTCGAGAGCAGCCCTACTACCTCCACCTTTTGGAGCTCTTTCTGCAGGTACCGGCCAAGAAGCCACATTTTAAACAGCCACCATTTAACTTTAAAAAATATATATAAAATTAATTCCACATCCTCCCTCGCATCATGCATTGCAAAATCCTGACGTTCTGGAATGCGTTACCAGGTGCATCGACGGTATCAGGCACACAGGACTCATTAGAGCAGGCGTGGGGCGAGGGGGCAGGAATTTGCTTTGGGTAGGGAGGGGGGTGGAGGAAGGGGGGGTGGTCATTGCCGTTCTGGGCTCAGGTATTTAAGATTGTTTTAAGGTTTAGGAATGAACCCCATGTTCATCTGTATTCTTCTTCCTTGTCTCTGAGCTAGTAGCTCAGATGTTCCAGTGCTGAGAATGGGCCTAATACTATTTAACGTTTGAATGATAAAGGCAAACATGCATTTGCACGTGACCTGTCATCTTATGCATTCATATTTATCACTTTGTAAATGAGAGAAGACCCTTCCATAATCGCGTCATGCCTGTGCAGGTGGAAGGGCCTCCACTAGAGGGAGCTCTAGAGGTCATTTGGCCATTTTTTCCATCATTTTTCACCCTCCATTGTGTTGGTTTAGTTTTTATGGCGTGCAAACTGTTTGCTTTGATCTACGTCTTTCTGATGTTTGTCGCAACTTATAGGGAGGTATCCCCAACATAAACCGATATTACTGGTATCTGCACAAAATTGTCATCTTCCTACTATTTGTGGCTATAGAGGAGGTGTTCTTGTTCGAAGTATACTCTTTGGGTCTTTCGGTAAAGTCACTTAGATAGAAAAATTAACATAAAAATCACGACGTTTCGATTGCAACACAAGCAATCGTCCTCAGGTGAAAACATATAGCAAGAGAGCTGCTGAAGTAGGGTGTTATATAGGCCTGAGATGGGTGCAGCCCAAAAACATTCTGGACATTGTTAAAAGGAATCATTTTTGGTCTGATTGCATTTTAGAGAATTAGTAAATTATGGTTATGTTGTTTTCCTCTTGATGTGCCCTCCTATATTTTTCAGACAACTTACCAGACTGAGCTGGGGCAAGCGCTGGATCTCATGTCGGCACAGCCAAACAAAATTGACCTGAGCATATTCACAGAACAGCGGTATGACCCACGGTCTGATTATACAATGATGGCTTGAGGAAATCTCCTGAGTTTCTGACAAAAACCAGTCGGGGGGGGGGGGGCGGGTGTACCTTTCAAAAATGCCTTGCCTGCTTTCATGTTTGCAGTGTAAGGTTTATTGCGAGTTGCAGATAATTAAGACAGATGTATGGACTTTTAAGGGCAGTGGTTTAGAAACAAGTTGGAAACTATATGACCAATGAAATCGATAACAATTGTTTCAGTCACGGTTAACAATTCAAAATTAATTTTGTTTCAACAAGTGTATGGTGTCTTAAGGTATTGGGCGGTGGCTATAAAATGGAAACTGACAAGTAAAATTAATATATATTTTTTATCCTTTGCCAATAATTTAATATTTGTTTCCAGTTCATAGATCGTAAGAGGTACATTCTTAATTTCTTTTTTTATTTCCTTTTCAGATACAAAGCCATCGTGAAATATAAGACGGCATTTTATTCATTCTATTTGCCTGTGGCTGCTGCCATGTACATTGTAAGTATGTTTGGTTAATTTATACCACCATATACCATTTAAAAAAGGAAGATTGTTGATGTTTGAAATTACCATTCGCATCAGTACAATTTCAACATAACCCACTTATTGGTGGTGGCTTTTTTTTCAGGCTGGCATTGAGAGTGAAGAGGCCCATGAAAATGCTAAAGCGATTCTGCTGGAGATGGGGGAGTTCTTTCAAATCCAGGTGCTTCACCAGCACTTCTTCATAATTGAGCTTTCCCAATCCGAGCAAACTTTGCCCGAGCCCGCTGCTTCTTGTCTATAAACGGCCTCGCATACCCAGCATTCACCGTTAGGGTGGGAAATGTTAAATCCATAACTCCAAAGGCAGTTCACATTACATTTGATTTTCCAGACATCCATTATTTCTCGGAATCGCTTTGTTGATCACAGCTTTAGATAAGTTAAATGTTACCTTTTGTGTTTTTTGACAATGGAACGAATTCTCTTTTGTATAATAACAGATGCGATAACATTTTACTGGTAGGAACCTCCTGGTTACACCAGCACACAGGGGATTATTGTGTCTGTCCATCGTGCATCCAAAAATGGGAGGGGTGGGGAGGGTGGGGAGGGGCCGGGTGGGGAGGGTGGGGCTGGGTGGGGGGTGGGAGGGGTGGTGCTGGGTGGGGAGGGGCTGGTCACCCAGTGGTGGTCTTATAAAACTCAACGTTTAACCTACTCACGCCGGCTTGTGCCCGCCCTCACAGTCTGCCATATTTGTGGAATGCACCACGACGCCGTTGACCCTGGCCATTGACCGAGCAACCCAACGTTCCCACCAGCTCCCTCCGCAGGAATGTGTAAAATTAGCTAATGCCATTTCCCATGCCCTCATGACACCACACATGTGTGCCTGCTGTAGGACGATTATCTGGATTGCTTTGGAGATCCAGAGGTGACCGGAAAGATTGGTACCGATATCGAAGATAATAAGTGTGGCTGGCTGGTGGTGCAAGCTCTTAAGAAGGCCAGCCCGGAGCAGAGAATTATCTTGGAGGTAAAGTTTGTCTGTTCCATTTACCACCACCAGATGGTGCTCCATTACAACTCCACAGGATCATCTCAAGTCGTATCAAAATATACATTTTGTAGCATTGTACAGGCTCACGTAGTGTGGGCACACGATATGGATATCTATGTTTAAGCACAATGATTGCTTTTATTTATACAATAATTTTAGAATTGAATGTTTTAATACCGATTAGCACGGTTCACTGTGTATGGTGCGAAAGAAGTTCAACATAATAGTTGATTTGGCATGTTATGCAATGCCTTATTAAACTAAACTTGATTAACATGTTTTCAAAGTGGTTCAGCTACAAACCATCCGGGACATGACCGTTTACACAAAGGAAGACCTATCAACGGTTTGTGTCGCTCCCGGCGCCAACGCGCCTTTCGTGTCTTACGTCACAGGAGAACTACGGGCGTCACGACGTGGAAAAGATTGCGCGCGTCAAGGACGTGTACACGGCGCTGGAGCTAGAGCGAGTTTACCACGAGTACGAGGACTGCAGCTACCGCACGCTCACGGCGCTCATCAAGCAGCACGCCGGCAGCCTGCCCGAAGAAGTCTTTTTGGCCTTCGCTCGCAAAATCTACAAGCGCCAAAAGTGATGGCGTCCACCTTTTTTTAGGTTGGATTTTGTTTTGTTAAGACGCACACTGGCCTGCGATGTTTGGCCACGGACGTAGGATAAGGTTTCTGCTTACGAAGGCTGTTGGGAGGAAAATGGAATGCAAGGTCTGTATTTGAAGGCGCACACCAACGGAACAATGTTTACTGAACTGGTACCCTGCATTCTACTGATGCAGTGATCTGATTGGTGTCGGTCTACCAGAATGAGCTATTGAGTATGGTGAATCTGTCGATTGGAACATGGTTGGTCATACCACATTTAACATGTTTTTGATCTCTGTGGCTTAGGATTAAGAGTATACTATCGATGATGATTCGTCGGATGTACATCTGTCCAGAAGAGATACTTTAAACTACATTTCAGGGTGATTTTTGGGCCTGCATGCTTTATGGTAACAAAAATCAAACCCATGCTCCTACTTGGATGCCCACACAGCCTTTCAATTGAAATTGATCAAGTGATCTGTCCTGGCTCTTTGGTTCTTTCGGTAAAGTCACGTAGGTATAACATAAAATAAATCACGACGTTTCGGGCGCTTGTGTTGACTTTACCGAAAGAACCAAAGAGTGGATTCCTGCAGTCACGAAAGCTTCAAATCAAGATTGATCTGTCCTGGGTTTGTAGATTTCCCCAGAGAAGCACAATCTTGACAGGTGATTGGTGGAGTGCTTGCTCTGTCATGTGTTTCACTTTTCCGATTTTGGCAAACATGGGGGTACATCTCTTTATCACTTACACAGCTGTGGCAGCATCTGTGTCTACCCAACCACTGGTGAGTGGGTTCCTTGATCAACAACAAAAACTCCTCATGAAAGCTACTTGCACTGTTATGTGCAATGTGCTGATGGCATGGAAACATTAACTCTATTTGGTGGCGACGTAGATTATTGGTAACCCAATGAAGATTTAACTTTGGACCAATGCGGGGCCAACGTTGGTCCGACGGTTCCAACCACATGCCAGAGTTGATCCATCGTTGCATGTTTACTGGGAACCACTTGACCAGAAACAATTTGAAATTATTAAATATGTATTGTGTTATGTTTAGCTGGACAACATACAATGCAGGAGTTGTAAGTGTTCTTGCTCTGGCCATCAGGTTTATTTTTTTTCAAGTAATTGAATACTGTTTGATTAACCATATGCTCTATTGGTTATACCTAATGTGGGTTCATGATAAAACACTATCCAATGTTTCTCCGCTTTGTATTCTTTACATTGAACTTTGAAAATGAGTTAATAAAGGCAGTGATTTTTTTCTGGATTTTTTATTCCACAAGTATATCATTTTCCAGTGTTTACAGCTCCCCAGAAATGTTGCAACCATTGATAATGCATCGACTATGTAATTATTCAGATGCACAGCCAGGAATAGTGTTTGTCTGTATCATAAGAGTAGTGGCACCATGTAGCATTCTCGTTCCACTTTCATCACAGTCAAGTAAAAAAAATGTACAAGTACCTGCAGCGTTACTTTTGTTCATATTAGACCATGGTACAAAATAGTATTTACATCTTGAATATTAGTATGGTGTTTCGGTATTTCATATGGATCTGTCATTACACAGTACAGCTTCTAAGAACCTTCTTAGATATAACCAAACACATTTTTACAAATGCCAGATGGCATAAGAGCAGTCATCATTGGAGTGTAAATGTTAAGAGATTTTTTTTCGTGAAGGTTCTGCTTGGAAAGTATAGGTTTTGCATTTTTTGTCTATCTTTGAAACTCAGATAACGAGTACCTGCAGAAAGCCTGTGCATGTGAGGGTAGACTATGGTAATCAAACTGCGTATAGGTCAGACAGTTGTCACATCTCCCTCTGGCAGCTTGCAAGTGGGTGTTGTTTACATGGTGATTCAATACATGATCCATCAACTCCATTGCATGTGTGTTTCCCCACACAGTAAATTGTTCTGGCAACAGATATTCAATCATGATATGAATAAGGGCGAGAGCTTTTGTGCATGCAGTGGGCACGCCTTTGTGTGCGTGCGTGCGTGTTGTAGAATTAAACGGGTAGCCTCGGTGAATTAATATCCAGGGCCAAAGTCGCCACCTTCCTGGATGGGCAAGGGGATGTCCTTGGTGGCATTCGTGCGGTACACCTCGCATACTCGAAGGGCCAGTTTGGTTTGGCTCAGCAGAGCTCCAGTCCCAAAAGACTCGCCACAAACGCCAAGATGATGAATGGTAATGCAGAAACTGAAGTGGCCTGGTCTGTTAAAAAAAAAATCACATTGTGGATTTTAACAAGAGCACAGTCATCGCATGTGCACATCTCTCAATAAATCATCTTAAGTTAATATTGTGGGAAAACAAGTCTTGATTTAAATGAATGATCAAATGATGGATTAGTATGCAATGGGGAGAGAAGTCGTACTTACTATATGGGAGGGTGATGAGTTTGCTCCATTCGCTCCACTCCCCATTGTTGGCAGCATCCTTTGCTGCCACTTGGATAGCATATTGGATGCCTGGTGCCACACCAGTCAAGGTGTAGCTGTACGTGTTATAGCCCGAGACTTCCACCTGAAAGGTGAAAAGCAACGCTTTCAACTACACTTAAGTAAATACTTTGCAATGTTTAAATCGCGTAACTAACATGCCAAACAAATATGGGTAGTGAAATTGCACGTGCTTGTGCCTTTCCCGTCACTGAAAACCAGACGTGCGTGTGCCTTTCACGTCGCTAAAAACAATCCCCATGAAGGTTAAAATGTATTTGCTATTTAGTTAGAAGTCTGACCCTGAACTATGTATACCTGGATGATATGAAAAAATCGAAATACCTTCACAAATGTTTTTTTTTACTTAAAAGTTAGAATATTGATGCTACATCTAAACTCAATATAGCACGTGTAAAAATAAACACAAATGGCAAGATGTACCACATGGGTGATGTTGAACCTGAGTCGATATTGCAGGGGGAAAACCTCTGGCAGTCGCCAGGAGGCTGGTGAAGCCCAGCGCACGGACACTGAAGGTCTGGATGGACCTGGTGACAGACCTGATGGGCAGCTCTGCAGTACCACTGGATGCTCAGGTCTCACTGGGGCGGGAGGGAGGGGAGCACAACAGTGGGGACACCCATAGCTAAGCTGTGACTGCCAGGGCTTGATTGCTCTTAATATTTTCCAGGTCACTGGTAGATCGGCGTTGACACGTGAAAAACAGCCACAGCCATCGCGAGAGGTATCCTGGATATGGTAATGTGGGTACTGTAAAGATGTCCTTGGTTGCTGACCCAGATAGATCGAGCTTAAATTAGTCCCTGGTTAAACATTTTCATTCGGCTTCAGCACGAGACTACACGATGGAAACAACCATTCTGCCATTGCAGACTTTCAGCTGCAGCTTCTACAATGTTATATAATCCAGATGTATATTTCCTCCTGTTAACATGACATTAATGACCATGCTGCAGAAGCGTTGGATGCTAATACAGATTAAATTGAATCTTTAGTGTACCTTTATTTGCAAATATTTTCTATTTAGTGTAAATTATCAAGAGGTGACTTTCATGAACACAAGAGTCCACACTTATTTCAACACCTAAGCAGGTTAAGCAACATGCTGCAATGCATAACAATCAGAAATTATAATCTCCTGGCTTTGATAATTTGTCAGCAAACATGAAGCAGGTTCAGACAGCATTAAAGCCATACACAACAAGGTAGGTTTGGGCCTTACGGATGGTTTTTAATTGGAGCTGAACGGATGAATTTGTGACGCCAAAGGAATTTGAGGCTGACACACGCAACTCAAGAGTGGGCGATGGACTTCCCGGCCATGCGCCGATGCACACATTGCCACCACCCAGCAATGTGCAGTCTACAACCGTGTCATTGTCCAAGAACCTACAACCAAGAGCAAGGAAGGGCCACAACAAAAAACATGGTTAATGACGAATATTGACACTTGACATAGGTCTTACGTTTCCATTGCTGTGTTGTTTTTAAATACAAGTAGCACATGTTCAAATGTAAAATTCGTTAAAGCAAACCTTCTTTAGATATATAAACCAATGCTACTGTACATGGTGTATCATACTGTTGAACAGTTAACTTTACACATGCACAGTATTAATTGTATTGGCAATGAACTTGGGACTTTTCTTACCGGTACTGGACCTTGAAGTTTACCCTGTTCTCATTACTCCACACACACTTAAAATGTATGTAATTCACTGCTCTGCATTGTATTTTTGCTGGTTTTGGCATTGCTAGGGAAAACAATGGAAAGTAATAAAAATACGCATTATTGTACATCACTTATAGGCATTTGAATATACTCGACACACTTAAGTCAATGTTTTTGGGATTATTTTGTACATCAATCTGAACGTTTCTGGAATGCAGAGAATTGCTTAATGTACACGCACACAGCACCGCTATATACATGTAAACACGTGCATTCTGAGACCCCATTTTTTAAACCTGGTCAAACTCGCACGGCATTGGGAGGCCTTCATCTCGTAGGGGATTGAGAAAAGGCCGTGTATATTATAACATTTTTTTGCAGAGATTTTTTTAAGTTACGGAATAACTATGAATACTGCCGGATGAAGGCCTTTCCACGTCGTGCGATGGGGCTTGTTTTATTATTCTCCACCACCGCACTGCTCAGTGTGGGTTTGTGATGAGGGGCCCAGAAGCAGCTTGTGTAGAATTCTCCGTTGTTGGGAATAAAAAATTCGGGTCGCTGATTAGATTCCAAGAACACAGGATGAGATGTTACTATCCTTTGTGCAAGCACTTCCAAGAGTTCATGAACAGTGAGCCTGGTGAAATTTGGGGAGCGCATCATCAGTAGTGTACCTTTGGTTCCTAGGGTGTTTCGGCCTTTCACACTATACACCCTCCCCAAAGGCGGCCAGTGACAGGGTGATCAATCCTACGCTTGCGTCCCATTCCCAATTAGTCATAGGAGTTGCCTTGTTGTTGATAGCGCAGTGCACTCGTGACTGTGCCATTGCTCCACATAATGAAACAAATTCCAATCATATGTATACGCACGTGCGCAAAACTTCATGCAAAGTTGCGGTCAATTAAAAAAAAATCAAAACGCTGGGTCTGCATCTTACATCCGAGGTTGAGCAGAATGTAGTCTACAGCATCATTCGTGCCGGCAGGGGAACAGGAGTAGGACCCTGCGTGCTGAGCACTGGCATTGTTGAGCGTGAGGCGGTTCTGCCGGAGAGAGACGTCGCTGTTGGCTGTGAGTCCAGAGCCATTCAATGTCCACACGAATTGGCCACCCATTGTATCTTCAGGGAAGCTACACTTCAAGGTGACCTCCGAGCCAAGAACGCCAAACACTGCGTGACAGAGTGACACGCAGAGGGGATACAACTCCGCCATGGGGGTGGGTTTATGTGAAGCGATGTGCAGTCATGCATCTTCAGAGGAAGAAGTCAAGTACTGCAGAACACATGTACATGCCCAACGTGTGACCTGTGCTTCCACATAATAATAATAATAATGATATCCAGAACTGCATATGTGTTAAATTTCGATTTAAAGCTTTCGTGACTGCTGGGATTCATCTTCTTGGTTCTTTCGGTCAAGTCACGTAGAAGGGAAGTAATACAATCATAAAAATAAAACATAATAAATAATTCTCACGACGTTTCGGCTGCTTGCGTTGTGGCCGAAACGTCGTGAGAATTATTTTATTATATTTTATTTTTATTATTTTATTACTTCCCTTCTACGTGACTTGACCGAAAGAACCAAGCAGATGCATATGTGTTCATTTACATTCCATTTTGTTAATCCAATGCTGGATAAGGACCTCGTCACGCCTTACGGGCCAGGATATCTGACCATTATGGATGTTGCTGCATTGTACTATCTTGGTCACAATGCCTATTGTACCTGTCTTTTTGCACGCAGTACTTATCCAGGCTCAGCTCATCTTAGCTTCCGACATCGGGTGCATTCCGGATGATGTATAGGCACACCATCAATACTGTATTATGTCGAAACTGCTATTTAGTTCCATGAGTTGAGTCATTGTATGTACACCTTCAGTTAAAAAAACAACACCTCAAAGGAAGGTGACTTCAACAAGCATATAATCGAGTATAGCGGGTTCGTGATTTGGTCATCGGCCCAGTGATGTATTCAGAGCAGCGTAGATGTGCGGTAATGATTTTTGAAAGACAATGGGGGTCCTTTTTTCTTCAACAGTGCAATCAATTCACGTGTAACCACAAAGGGACGATGGGATGCAGAAATACCCACCCTGCTTTGTCCCTACGTAGACTTGGGGGCTCCACTCACTCCACCTGCCCAGAAAGATATCGTGGCAATGCACACGCACCACGTACGGCTCCCCTTGACGAGCGTCAGTGATGGTGAAATGATTCTCGTTCAATTCCACCTGCCAACAGAGGTACGGGGCATCCACTACGTTCACGACTCGAGTCACCGACAAAACACTCTAATCAAAGTCAAATATAACAGTTTAACACGTCGGCTTTCGCGACCAATATTGTCCATAATAGAGGTTTTTTGGCTTAGATAATTGTTTGCCGTACGGTACTTATGTTTACATCCATGTTGCTCTTGTTTCAATGTTCTGCAGTAACTGTATACTAAAATTAGTTTTAGTTTTAAAGCAGGTTTTAAAACGATAAATTTAGTAATTTCAAAAGGTCTCCATATCTTTTTTTGACGCAAGTATGTTGGAATTTAATATTTTGAATTACACATCTTTGTGCACTGCAATAGACATTGTACACTACACAGCCGTGACAAAACGTATATACTCTACTGTGATGATATAAAACAGGTGAATCCCAGCATACTTAGTATATCGAGATGACATCACAGCACTTGTACATATTCTGCACAGAGCCATGTGAAGGCCACCGGTGGTGGCATTTATTTTTTATTTTAACGCAGCAGAAGTACCTCGCTGCTCATTCACATAGGCCACAAGTATTTGCCTAGTTATTCCTGAACCCTTAGGGAAGGAGGGTAGCCACCTGTGAGTAAAAATATCACAGTGCTGGGGTTGGGCAGAGCGATTAAAGTGCAAAACTCCTCTTTATCCACGACCTATAACCTGCTACTATTCTTCCTATTATCCATTATCATCTTAGGATAACAGGACGCAAAGCATTCGTATTTTGCCCCCACATCGCCATGGTAAGATAAGTTCTCCTCTACAGGTACTCCTCTATTTACGAAAATTCGACTTACGATCTTTCAGAGATACGAACAAACCTGTCCGTATGTCCAGTTGCCTGTTGGGACCGAGAGTCGTAAGTTCAACCGCCGGGCCATACATGGCAGTGGTGGCATCTACATCTGCAGAACATGAAGGACCAGTGGCATCTACATCTACAGGAGATTATACAACTTTTAAATCCATTCCCCGTGTTTAGTGTACACCAGGACAATATGTTTGGAATCGACAAGAGTAATGTTGGACTTATGAACAAATCGACTTGCAAACAGACCTCTGGAATCGTCTTGGTTCTTTCGGTAAAGTCACGTAGAAGGGAAATAATAAAATAATAAAAATAAAACATAATAAAATAATTTTACATTACTTCATTATTTTATTTTATTATATAATTTTAATATAGTACTTATTATATTATATTGTTATATGATTATATTTTATTATTTTAGTATAATATTATATTATATTGTTATATTATTTTATTATGTGAAATATTTTATTATTTAATTATTTCCCTTCTACGTGACTTTACCGAAAGAACCAAGAAGATGAATCCCTGCAGTCACGAAAGCTTTAAATCGAAATTTAGACCTCTACAACCTAACTCGTTCGTAAGTAGAGGAGTCCCTGCATATGCAAGTACGGTGCCCTGCCTGTACTCACCGTTTGCCAGCTTGATGTTTGATTCGGCTTGTAGTCCATTTCATACTTGAGTTGCATGTCACTATTCCACGTGGACGGCTCCTGCCAGGTGACAAGAATGCTGCTTTTGGCATTCTTCACACGGTGCGCCGTCACGTTCTCTGGAGGATCCGGCTGAACTGATATTTTTTTGACACAACATGCAAAAATGGCACATTCTAGTTAGACAGGGCAATGTGTGTGCCAAAGTAGGCATTCAACCACACGTGTCCTTGCAGGAGTGAAAATGTGAAATAAACTCCGTACAGAGGATATTACTCTATACTCCACTGCATATGTACCGACGGTAATAATTTCACTGGTAATGATGCATTAATGTGTTGATTTGAAGTTGCACTCTTAGGTTCGCAATACATGCATCGTATCATACACACAGGGATCGATTATTGCCGATTAATGTACAATGTTGCATCTAATTGTATTACCTACCTTGTAAGGCACTGGAGGCTACATTTACCAATAATTATATGTTTTAATCGTGTCAACACCGAATCGTGACCGTTCGTCGAATCGCAAAGGGAGAGCAAATAGACACATGCTTAATTATGGATACGTTGATTTACATAATACAAGCATTGCAGGCGTTAAAATACATCATGGTCTCGTTAATTTAAATTTATCATGGTTTCATTTTTTTCACAATAACACCCACTGTATTGTACGAATGGTAGTAATACACAAAACATAAATGTCTTCTCGCTGGGCAGTGCTCATTGAACTATGTATGATGGATCTGAGCCAGTGATAGAACGTTTACATTGTTTGCGTAAAACAAATAGAGTTGTCAGACATGATTACGAAAACATACGCATCGTTAACCCTGGTGTTGCTTCACATAACCGCTGCTCACCCCCGACCTGTCGAGTTTATACACACATCACGAGCAAAACACACAGCAGTCGTATTGCAGTTATAACGTACCGATGTTATCCGTGTAGGTGGCGGTAACATTTGTGGATCCGAGGTCGTTGACTGCAGTTACTGTGAGTGTGAACATCTCAACAGCAAACAAATATACATTTCGTATAAGACAGCTGTCTTTACTTTCTGTGAGACAATCTTTGAATGATTTATCCCTAAGAAACACACACACACACGTTTTTTTCAGTCCACATACAGTAATTCATACCCGAAGTGATTATGATTATGCATTCATGTAAATTAAAGATGTATTCCTGAATTTTCGAATGAAGCCATGTCAATGACATAAATATGACATTCCATATGAGCTCAGGCATTATTTTTTCCAATAGATCAAAAAACGTGACGTCACCAGAAGCGACATCGTTCATAAGGCGTCACGTTGGCACTTTACCTGCCAAAAGTGCTGTCACCTGACATCGTTTTGGCAATACGCGATGTCTTCTTTGCTTAATTTACGACATGTAAATGTTTGCATATGAAGTTTCGATTTTACTGTGTAATAAAATAAGTATAAATTAAAGTACCATTTGTTTTGATATTCAATTACGGTTCATACACGATGAAAGTTGTTAAAATCAAATAATGTTACGTGACCGGCCCTCTCTCCAGCCACCAAAACTTTTTCCCTCCATAAAGTATTAGACAAGTGCCGTCGGTCAACCCCATCCTGCACTTCATCACGTCCCCCCTGAGTGCCCCCCTTTTGCACGTGACTACCCCCAGGACCCCCCCCCCTCCCCGCATATCGTCCCAGTACCCCACGCACTCCCCCATCCATGCTTCCCCTCATTGGTGACCCCCCACCCGCGCCCCCCACCCAAGTACCAGCCACCCATGCCCCCCTCCGCTCTGCGCGCTGTGCGAAGCATGCCCCCCAGGCCAGTCAGAACGCGTGCTGAGCGGCGCGTGGCCAGCCAGGCTGCAAAACTTTTTTTTTTCTCGTATACTATGATTTGCAAAAGGAGTGTAAACATCTGAAAATGTGATATCTGAAAAAAGAACATGGAATATTAAACTCATGCCGACTGTACTTCAGTACCGAATGATGAAATTTGGAATGCAATGTCCAGAGCATGGCATTGTACAGTATCAGGAGAATAAACACATTCCTGCGGAGGGAGCTGGTAGGAACGTTGGGTTGCTCGGTCAATGGCCAGGGTCAACGGCGGCGTAGTGTATTCCGCAAATATGGCCAACTGTGAGGGCGGGCACAAGCCGGCGTGAGTAGGTTAAACGTTGAGTTTTATAAGGGCACCACGGGGTGACCAGCCCCTCCCCACCCAGCCCCACCCCTCCCACCTAGCCCCACCCTCCCCACCCAGCCCCTCCCCACCCTCCCCTCTCCACCCAGCCCCACCCCTCCCATTTTTGGATGCACGACGGACGGACACAATAATCCGCTGTGGGCTGGTGGAACCAGGTGGTTCCTATCAGTATGATTCTGCCGCTGTGCTGTTGCTCACCAGTACACGGCAGTGTAATTGGTGGGCAGGAAAGTTTCTCTGTTTAAATGGAAGGTGCAGAGGCAATTTGAGTAATCGTTGCACCTGCAGGAGACGTTTATCGAATGTGGAGGATCTGAAATGCACAAGAAAAATGCGGTTTGTTCAGATATCACTCAACTTACACCATTTAAATAAACACAAAACCCAACTTGGCAAATTCGCGTAATGCTCATATTATTTCTCCCTGCGCATACTCACATCCTGGCTTGAAAGCAACGCGGTCCAACTCGCGGCCCGTGCTGGCATCGTGGCACGAGTATTCTCCTCGATTCGAGAGGACGACTTTCTTTAATCTCAGGAGGGTGCTCTGAATGAAGAAGTCGGAGCTGTTGTGCATCGCTGAGCCGTTCAGTCGCCACACAACGACGTTGTCGGAGCGAAGTCTCGCCGTGCTCACAGGCAGACAACGCATCTCAAACGGCAGTCCGATTTCCCCGTAAAGGAATCTGAGCGAACCTGCGAATACAAACAAGGGGAACAACAACAAAATATACAAAGATCCACGTAATTTCTGCTCGCGAGTAACACCTATGAAGGTCGGAACGGTACACGAGGGGGTGGGTGGGTGGCCAGCACCACGCCCGACCCGCCTTTGCCTCTCTAGTAGCGATGTTTACACACCGCACCGGGTACTCATTTGAGGCCGAGTCGACCTAGGGGGAGGCCCAGGACCGGTTCAAATCATCGTCACTGGTGTTGGCCGTGAGCGGGAATCGAACTGGAATGGTCGGATTCAAAGCGCAGCGTAGCGCGAACCACTCTCAGCTCACGTGGGGCAAAGGAACGGGAGACCCCGCTTGATGTCGCGTTAAGTCCTGCTCTGTCATTCTGCGAACCTAATGACAGCAGTTCGAATGAAGTTTGTGTTCACCCTGTATGCACTGTTATAGCTGACGTGTTGTCAATTCTATCACGCCGACTTCAAGTAAGATTTGGAGTTGGTGGGAACACACGGTAAGGTAACACGAGAGCCGAAGAGGTAGACCACGATCTGACTGGTTGTCTAGCATCAAACATGGCATCCAGCGAAAGACACACGAATGGAGAGAGATTAGTTTAATGACCACCCGCATGAAGGTTTCTGTTAAAAAAGAAACTGTTTCTCAACTTACTGGCAGTTGTCAACCAGCAAGTCAGAAGGATAGCTGTTACAATGATGCACTTTTTCTCAAAACACGCCATCTGCAAAAAACAAACCACACACACGCACACATAAATGGGCATAGACTAGAGTGTAAGTAGTTCTTGGGGTCAGTGAATTCTGTTGGTTTTCTCCCCCCCAAAGGAACAACGTCATTGTGGAGTGAGTCCGTGGCCCAGTGGTTTGCGCACTCCGACACGAACTCGGTGAGCACCGTTAGACTACCAGCCAAACATCAGCGGCGGCTGGTACGGTGTGAAAAAAAGCAATAATTATCAGGACTGCCGACACAAAGGCGGACGGGGTGCTGTCCCACCCCCCTTCTCGCTGGCTTCAAGGCCACCTTCAGAGTCTGTCGGCGTTGTAGAGCGTGCGACGTGTTTGCCCGGCGCTAATTCTAGATTTGAAGCTTTCGTGACTGCAAGGATTCATATTCTTAGGTTTTTTCGGTAAAGTCAAGTAGGTAAAAAACATCAAAATGACGGAGACTTGTGTTGCCTCCGAAACGTCGTGATTTTTTGTTTTATTTTATTTTATTTTCATTAATTTTTATGTTTTTACCTACGTGACTTTACCGGAAAAAACCTAAGAATATTTGCCCGGCGCATCTCACCTTTAGTCTCTCTCTCTTTCTTTGAACCTATCTACGTGAATTTCGATTTAAAGCTTTCGTGACTGCAGGGATTCATCTTCTTGGTTCTTTCGGTAAAGTCACGTAGAATTTAAATAATAAAATAATAAAGATAAAACATAATAAAATAATTCTCACGACGTTTCGGCCACAACGCAAGCAGCCGTCCTCAGGTGAGGAACAGGTGTTCTTCACCTGAGGAACAGGTGTTTTTCACCTGAGGACGGCTGCTTGCGTTGTGGCCGAAACGTCGTGAGAATTATTTTATTATGTTTTATTTTTATTATTTTATTATTTCCATTCTACGTGACTTTACCGAAAGAACCAAGAAGATCTATCTACGTGACTTTACCGAAAGACCCAAGAATACGAGACCCCACCCCCCCATTACACCATATTCATAGCTGCACATAGCACTCGGGATATCCCCCCCCCCCCAAATAAATAAAACGCCAAACAGCAAACACACCTTACCTGCGAGTGGAATGTTATTGTTGAACGTCTTTCTTCACCGTATACGCAGCCAGCAAGCCAGCCGTGCTAATCGGAGCTTTGCGAGTGAGTGTGTGTATGTGTATGTATAAACACACACCCTTCTACTAACACAGCCCTAACACAAAACCAGCATAACAACATCAGTTTAAAATACTTCACCCCCTTCAAGACGCCCCCCTCCCTCCCTCTCCCCCTGGGTTTAAGCCCCTTTCGTCAGCGCTGGTTGCTGTCGAGGGCACGACCCAAAGCGACGGTGATGGAACCCGCGCTCGGCACCGCGCGCGTGTTCTCTCGCTTGAAGGGGGGCAGAGAGAGAGGGGAAGAGTGGGCGGCTTTTGTGTGGACGAGTGTGTGTGTGTGGGGGTGGTGGTTCGCTTTCGTGTTCATTTGCTGAAGTTCACCGTTGGGGTTTTTTTGGTTGATGTTTGGCTGTGGCACAGGTTGGTTAAGGAATGAGCATATCTGTGAACTTCTTATAAGTGCCCGACCTTAGTACAGCCCAATTCAGATCGTATTGGTCACCACGTGTCCTTATACATCTCAACGTTCATCCTATAAAGTCCCATCACAAGGGAGTAACACAAACATGTAGACAATCACCAATACTACACTCACCACTAGTACACTCACCACTACACTCACCACCACACTCACCACTAGTACACTCACCACTAGTACACTCACCACTACACTCACCACTAGTACACTCACCACTACACTCACCATTAGTACACTCACCACTAGTACACTCACCATTACTACAGTCACCACTACACTCACCACTAGTACACTCACCACTACTACACTAACCATTACACTCACCACTAGTACACTCACCACTACACTCACCACTAGTACACTCACCACTAGTACACTCACCATTACTACACTCACCACTACACTCACCACTAGTACACTCACCACTAGTACACTCACCACTACTACACTAACCACTACACTCACCACTAGTACACTCACCACTACACTCACCACTACTATACTCACCACGAGTACATTCACCACTAGTAGACTCACCACTACTACACTAACCACTACACTCACCACTAGTACACTCACCACTTGTACACTCATCACTGCTACACTCACCACTAGCACACTCACCACTAGTACACTCATCACTACACTCACTCACCACCACTACACTCACCACTACACTCACCACTAGTACACTCACCACCACTACACTCACCACTAGTACACTCACCACTACTACACTAACCACTACACTCACCACTAGTACACTCACCACTACACTCACCACTACTACACTCACCACTACTACACTCACCACTACTACACTCCCTACTAGTACACTCACCACTAATACACTCACCACTACTACACTGACCACGAGTACACTCACCACTAGTACACTCACCATTACTACACTCACCACTACATACTTGTGAACCCCTTATATGTGCCCGATCTTATTACAGACAAATTCAGAGACCTTATTGGTCACCACGTGCCCCTTATCAATCTCAACGTTCATCCGACAAAGCCCCATCACAAGTGACAACACAAACAGACACATTATAATGTTTTGCCCGTATTGAAACGGCTGTACCCCGTATTGGACGTGAAAACTCAATTTCCCTTTACAAGAATACGGTTGTAAACCGTGTGGGTTGACAGCTATGAAGGCTCATGTAGATGCGGAGAAACTAACGGATACACAATCCCCACGTTCATCGTGTTGTCCAGCCGGAAAACCCGCGTCAGGGGTGGCGGAGTGCAAGGTCGTAATTATAATAAATATTGGGGGGGAGCACATCCCCCCCAATATTCAAATATACTCAAAATCTCCCCCCCCCCCCCAATATATTGCTATAAAATACATTTCTGTCTATATGATTGTGGTTATGGCTATACTTTATTAATCCTTAATCTCATTACATACAATGAAACAAGAAAAGGTAAAAAAGAAAAAAACAGAGCAATGTAATACAATAACACTATTAGACATTATTGTAAAAAATAAATAAAAACTCCATCCTATGTGTTAGTAATTTTTTTTTATATTTTAGGCAGGAAATTCGCTTTCAAATTTAGATTTTTTTTTCTGGAGGGGGGACCCCCAGACCCCCTGGAAGATTTGGTCCCACCCAATGTTGACTCCATGGCTACGGCCTTGGCGGAGTGTATTATCGCTGTGATGTCCCCTTCGCATTTGTGTGGATCGGGGGGCGTTGTGGCGTCGTTCGACTTACACATGTTGCGCGCTCTGTTCTGGATGACCACGGTCGCACACCTCCAGTGGCAGGGCCGTCTCACATTGACATGCTAATCTCTCACATTTACGTACAAATTCCTTCTCTAGCTCCGCCCACTTACCCTTCGGTTGGACCCACCAAAATCCTATATAAACTCTTGTTGCAGCAGCTCTTTCTTCTACGTCAGCAGTTTTCCTGCTGTGTTTATTTCACCTGATGACGGTTGCTTGTGTTGCGATCGAAACGTCGTGATCTATTAATTTGCTATCTTCGTGACCTTATCGAAAGAACCAAAGAGTATGAATTATGTAAAGGTTCAGAACGTACAATTATCAAGTTATTTTTTTTCCAACAGCACTCCAACCCACTCGGGATATTTTCAATAACTGTCCTCGGTAAATATCATCATTAGCCACGATCAGTCGACTGCTGGATACACCATAATACTAGACTGTACTCTATATGCCATTGGGTTAAGATGTAGGCGTTGAAGTACAAATGTGTAATTCTAGATTTGAAGCTTTCGTGACTGCAAGGAATCATACTATTAGTTTTTTCGGTAAAGTCACGTAGGTAAAAAAATGAAATTAAAATTAATAAAAATTATATTTGAAAAATGAAATTCAAATTAGTAAAAAATATTTTATTATTATTTTTATTTCATTTTTTTACCTATGTGACTTTACCGAAAAAACTACGAGTACAGATGTGTAGTTTGACTGAGGTTACCAAGTACAATTATGATCGTGTATACTTCTAAAGGTCGAATAGTAGGAATCTAAATGATACTCTATACATTGTGTATGCGTAAAACAATGCTGTTAATTTAGCATAATAAAAACGATCACATAGCATATTAACAGAATTCCTAGGTGCTAATGTGTGTAAATATAAAATTGGTGTGGTTTCTTGACCGCGGTTTTGGATAACAGATACAAAACCAAATGCTGGGGTGTTGAGGCTGAGTCACTGGGCTTCTTAATGTGCTGAAAATTGAAAATGAGAATCGACAAATAATAATTCCACACGATTTCATGAGGTTAAACAATTTCAACTTGTCCAGTGAGCATGCTATTTCTTGTCGTGTGAATCAAAAGAATTGCTCCATCGGTTATGTATGTTATGTTGAACTTCTTTCGCACCGTACGTAGCCAACCGTGCTCATCGGAGGTGTGGGGGAAGGACAACAAACTAAACACAAAAAGAATTTCGAAAGAAATGCGTTTTCAATCTAGATTGAAACAAAAGGCCTTTGTCCCCAGCATGGCAATCGTGATGTGAACGTAACCATTGCATTTTACCTTAATCTTAAGAGTCCACAATACATAAGGTCCATCCATAGTGTACCATAGACCCAAAGTGAACAAACATATTTTGTGTATACAGTATACCCGGTGGAGTTTGACTATTCCATACAAAGGACGAAGACTAAATAAAGGTTTTTTTTAACGAGTAGTAATGTGGCAGTTTAACAGATGCCATTAGTCACACTACTATTTTTTCACACTGCATTAGATATTGCCCAACGACGAATGCTACTTGTATGTAGTAAGTAGGCGTATGCCGTTTGTTGAAGAAGTAGCGTGGTGTACTCCGATACATTTGTCGGGGCTTTTTTTGTAACTTCACACCGTAAAAAAAAAACCCAGCAACATTTTCAGGAAACCGAACAAACGGCTGCTGCTGTTTTGGGGTTAAATTTCCCTGTCACCGTGACGGCTAACGAGTGAAATCGTGCAACGAGCGACGAATGCGTGGCACTTGACAGGACTCGGGCTATAACCTCACGCCCAATGCGTGAGACTTGAGACCTGGCTTCAGTATGAACGCAACAATCCTTCGTGCGGGACTGGTGGTGTTGGGTCGGTGGTGTCTGCGGCATATTGATGCCTGAATCGTACAACAAAGCGACGAGCGCGTGCCACTTGGGATCAGGCCTCGTGTTTGTCTCACGCCTAATGCGTGAGACTTTGAGGGGGTGGGAGGCGGCGTTGACGGCGGTGGGGTGAGGGTCTGGACTGTTAGGGTCCTGCGCATCGAATTCAAAATGTGGCCACCGAGTCTGCGTCTGCTGCCCAGTGGCGGTCGCGCGTAATCTGTCCCCGGCCAACGTCAGCGTCCGGGGCCGTGGTTCCTGCCACGTGGTTTTTGCGGCGGAGATTGTTCCGATCTCCGAGGGGAAAATCGGGGGGCGGTGTGGAGTTTTATCAGCGAGGAAAATATGCCCCGGGCAGAGAGAGAGTATCGATCTCGCTCCACGCGCCCACCAGTGCGAAAAGTTCAAATTGTCTCTGTCTCTCCGTATGTGTTGAACTTCTTTCGAACCGTACGTAAGCCAACTAATCTGTGTCCACACGCCACGGTGCATGAGCACACGGCCAATTGAGTCGTGGTGGTGGTAAGTTGTGGGTGGTGGGGGGGTGGAATTCTACTTAACATTTTATCTTAGCTGTGCATTGGGTTCCTGCCATGCAACTTACTGTTTTTTTTTGCTTCGTACTCAAACAAAGCTTGCAGGTTCAATAGAGGCAACGTTGGACAATTTTCTACGTCTGCAAGCCGGATGGACGTGACAGTACATGCAGCAACGGATTCTTGAATCTATCTGTGTGGGGCCTTTAAGTGTGTATCTATATATATATAAAATCGCAAATCTATCTGTCTGTCTGTGTGTCGCCGGACCATACGCAGTTTCATTGGACGGCGGTTGCCCCTAGCAACGGGTAGCGACGCATTCGCTGCGGGATGAACGCCATTTTTAATTCCCGTAAAAAATATGCGCACGCATTAACACGCGACTCTGAGGTAAATTCATCAAAGTTTCACGTCCTCTTCACTCCCCCCCACCCCAATGTGTGCTATTACTATTATAGGGTCGGTAGATAATAAAATTATAGCGATTAGACAGTATTATTGTAGCGCGGGGGGGGGGGGGGGTAACGGCCCCGGTACCCAGCCTCAGCCGGGTGGGCAATTTAGGCGAGGCCGGAGGCTCTGCACGGTACTAGGCCTCGACACCCCACCACACTATAGGCCGTACATATTACTGCACAGCGGCCGAGGTGATCGTGGCTGGGGGGGGGGCAGGGGTAGCAGCCCATCTGTGTATATATGTAAGGTTATTAAGAAATATATTTTTCACCCGGGCAACGCCGGGTACTTATGCTAGTCTCCTCATACGCGTGGTAGGTTTCTCCCCGGGGGCTCCAGTTTTCTCTCATATGTCAAACAATTATGAATGGAGTTAGCCAAACGTGTAAATTGCTGGACCCTTAAACAAAGAATCTTGAGTTTCAATTAAGCTTTCCGTCGGTAAAGGATGCCTGCCATATTCTCTTAACAGTAATTGTTTATAATGCTAACTTAAATTTATACGTAAATAATAATGTATGTACAGCCCATGTCCGTCCACTGCTGGATTAAGTCTTCCCCACACCGTGTAGGTCTCTGGGAGTTATTTGACCATAATTTGACGATGATTAGTGCAGATTGGTGAAGACTATGTACGATTAACTAACTCTTAACTATTTTTATTTTACCGGGTATGACCCACTGAGCTATATAACTCTTTTTCAGAAGCGACCTGGACACAAATGATAGCTTAACGAATTGGGCTTACCATGTGGAAATGTACAGCAGCCAAATGCTCGAAACGCGTGACGTTGATTCTAAATGTGGAGGGGAAAACCGGAGGACCCGTAGAATAATCCGCACACCATAAGGAGAACATGCAAACACCACATTTCCCTGGATAGTACAGGAACGGGTAACCACCATGCACAGCAGGTGTTATAGGCTCTGATGAACATTTGGAAGTGCAGCGAAATAAACTGTTGTACTGTACGTCTATGCTCGTTTTGGGGCATCTCGGGGCGCCACGGTGGCTAGGAGATGTTAACTACCTCGGCTGGTATGCAAGGGGGTCGTGGGTTCGATCCCGACCCTGACGCCTGCTGTATATTTGAAGTGTGCATGTTCTCCTCGTAGTCACGTGGAATTTTCTTCGGTTCCCTCTGCTTTTTCTCTCCGCAGGTATAATTAATACATATTGTTTTTCTGCAATATTTTGCTGGATTTTCTTGGATTTTCTGTTTGCACATAGTCATTTTAACATGTTTTCTTGTTCATCTTTTTGTTTTTTTGTTTGTTGCGGTTGCACCCGATTCAAGAGCCGAATGGCTCACAGGTCTATACCTAATAAATGAACTTGAACTAATCATGCGTTTGGAGTAGTTAGCTGCTCTAGATTTCCACATGATAAGCCACTTCGTTGAGCTATATAGCCCAGTGGACCTTACCTGGTAAAATAAAATAAAAAGTTAACAGTTAGAAGCCACATTAAAATTTTAATTACCCTTCATGCCCAAGGTAACTGCTGTAATGGCCCCACAGCCCCCACTGCTAACCTGTCGGGATGTCTGTGGGGCCGCCCATAAATGACGTCACGCACCTGGGGGGGGGGGGTCAGACATTTGTGACGATGTGTGACGAGGGGGGGGGGGGGGGTTTGAGAAATGTGACGTCACATCAAAATGCACAACTTTAAATAAATGTAGACAACGCACGTTCTACTTAATTAGACTTTTCAATAAATGTTTCTCCTACAACATCAGAGTGCAGCGCCACATTAAATACGCACTACAATAACAATAGTTTAAAGCGATGTGAAGCATGTTTTATTTTCAAAATGGAAATATGGTTTTGGCGGGGGGGGGGGGGCGGGGCAGAGCTTTGTTACGTCATATTTGAGGGGGGGGGTCTGACTTTTTGTGACGCCGTGTGACGAGGAGGGGGGGGGGGTTCAAAAATCGTCCAAAATCGCGTGACGTCATTTATGAACGGCCCCTTGTCTGGGTGTGTCAGTGTTGTTAATGGTTGGTATTCTTTTGGCAGTGTTACTGTACTTGTTGGGAATGGTGGTGTTTCCGCGTGGGCAAGTGGCTTGCCAATGGTGGTTCAGTTCAAGTTCAAGTTCATGTATTAGGTATAGCCCTGTGAGCCATTCAGCTCTTGAATCGGGTGCAACCGCAACAAACAAAAAACAAAAACATGAACAAAAAACATCTTAAAGTGAATATGTGACTAAGTGCAAACAGAAAATTCAAGAAAAGACAGCAAAAATATTGCAGAAAAAACACCGTACACCAACGCTGTGTGCCATAGCACCCGGGTGGGAATGGGGATGGGCAATATACGCAGAGAGGTTTGAGAATCATTCCAACAAATTCCAATGTCTGGGGTAGGCGGAGAAGAAATATTTAGAACTTCGCCAACCCTGATATAATCGGAGGTGCAGGGCACGGACAACGAACTAAACACAAAAAGCAGTTCTAAAGAAAGAATTTGCAATTTCATGATAGAGTTGTTTTTTTGTTTATATCGCGTAAATATATAAATGTGTCGTTAAATCCCACCACCACCCGACACAGACAACTAGTAAGGGTTGTCACGTAAACAGAGCGTGGCCAATTCGTCACTGGTACAGCACGCCGGTGTGTTGGAGAAGCCAAGCCACAACATTTACAATCTGAGTACGACGTTTCGCCAGTAATTACAACTAGCTTCATCAGGCGACAGCCAGATTTGTGGAGAAGTCCACCTGTTTCGTTCCTTATATAGAGGTGTAGATGTGGTGACCACGCTTCTGCGCTCTTGTGCAAAGTGTGTGTGGGGGGTTAAAGAACTAACGTAGATTAGGCATGCGCATTATGCGAGCCCTTTGATCTTGTCCTTCCTGTCCATTGTGTGTATTAAGTTTTTAGTAATACAATACCCTGCTGCAATACCTTAGGAGGGGCCTCACTTAGTCTTTAATGAACACTGCGGTGTTATTTTAGGTGTGATTTACTTTGAGGAATGCTGCCTACACAAACCCACGTTGTCCAGCAGATGGAAGCCTTACACAATTCATCATCACGGAGCTTGCTGGCATTGTGTTCATTCAGAAGTCCGCCAAACCCCCAACACTACCAACATGCTGGATTAACAAGTACGTCACTACACTACACAACACTCACCATTATATGAAACAACTGTTTGTCCTCATTCAACTATATCGATAATTACATTGCTAATTCTAGATTTGAAGCTTTCGTGACTGCAAGGATTCATATTCTTAGGTTTTTTCGGTAAGGTCACGTAGGAAAAACATCAAAATTAATGAAAATAAAATAAAACAAACGTCGTGATTTTTGTTTTATTTTATTTTCATTAATTTTGATGTTTTACCTACGTGACTTTACCGAAAAAACCTAAGAATATACATTGCTAATTTCCGTTAACTTTTACAAAGGTATTGAAGTACAAACTTCAAGGTTTTATATAATGGGACCTCCCTTGCCAGTATCAACATATGAAAAGAGGTTTCACCCTTTGCTGAATCCACGCGTAACCTTTTGCAAGGCATGATTTCTGAAACTTTTGCAAGGAATGCAAAATATGTCTGTTTAGTGTTTTAACATCCTATCACATGTTTTATTGCCAGACAGGGTAACACCTATTCTTATATCGATGTTTTAGTTCCAGTATTTGAGTGTATATCATTGACGTTTTCATTGAAAACACAGAGTGGATTCTATATTTTGACGTCTTACTTTCGATGGCCATCCCTAATCTTAGCACATCATCACACTGGAAATTCCGTAGACGTTTATGAACGTGAGATAAATGACTTGTGCACGCAATGTAAAGATTTAACCATTTTTATTTAAAAAGCATAAGACTTTCAGTGTTGTAATTCAAATCTAATACAATATTGTATTATGCAAATACTGCATATTGAATACATATAATACTGTGTAGGTTTTGTAAATGAGACATTAATACTGTATGCAGTAGAAAAATATAAATTTAAAATAGTAATGCATTTGTAACTAAATCACTAATAAAGTGGAATCACAATACAGTAACTAGTAAACATGTTATAATAAAACATACTTTGGATTAAAAAAAAAATTCAATGCTGTTTGATAACGCTCTTACATAAATGACCATGAACTTCATTTTAATGCATTTGTTAATGAGGTACAGTAAACATTCAGTAGCACTGCAAGGAAAAGTAAATTACACACAAAGCTTTGCCTCACATATATTGAAGCATCATAATGCAAAGTGATATGTCAGGGCTGTCAATCAATCATTCCACCCTCCCTCATTTATCTTTCTACCACATGTACTCGGACTGGCAATTTTGAGGCATAAAAGAAAGCTGAAACATGTCATGGGAAGAATATATCACGATAATTACCAGGAGAGGGGAGAGCTACATGCAAAGGCATCGTCTTGATTGGCGAATTGCTACGCAACTGACGAAACCTCGGACTTTTAATGGAGCAGAAAGGCTCGCGGATTGCACGGGACAGGTACCTGTTTGCACTTAGTCACATATTCACTTTAAGATGTTTTTTGTTCGTGTTTTTGTTTTTTGTTTGTTGCGGTTGCACCCGATTCAAGAGCCGAATGGCTCACAGGGCTATACCTAATAAATGAACTTGAACTTGAACCTTCAAAAAGGACGATCCTGGGCAAGCCAAGGCAGGTGGCAACCCTCGTAATTGTTGTAAACGGGAATCAATGTATTGGAAAGATGCCCCCCCCCCCATATCATGAAGGTCCTCATGAAACAATGTAATCATGTGCTGTTGCCAACAGCATGAGGCTTTATGATATCACACATGTAGACCCAATAAATATATCATTGGATGGGAACTTTAGACGCAAACATCCCTTAACAACCCATACATGCGAATGAACCTGCAATCGTGCGGATTGACGAATTAAAAATAAAATTGTATAGTATTCTAAATCTCTGGTCTCTGTCCAAGCTGCAGGGTTACATGCTTGTGCACGCGGTTCAAATCGTAAGCGGCAATATTTATTTGGCACAACGGCGCTCATCAATTTGAATGCGCACGGATCACCATCAGGGTGGTGGGGTGGGCATGGGTGGGTGGGTGGGGCGGCTAAGTGACATGAAAGGCGCCGACCCCGTTGTTAGGCAGCCTTGAACAGTCGCACGGACGGCACGCATCAGTGTGCCTCGTCTATCACTCGCGCGGGCAAACTCCAGCGGCTCCACGTCCCGGTACCCAGCGCCTCGCGCGCCGAGACGCGCACCTCCAGCGCCCGGGCAGCGCCGGCTCGCGGCGGCGGCTCCAGCACAAATGAGGTCGCGCCCTCGCCATCCACGAGCACCTGCAGCCGACAGAGCCACGCGAGGCATGGCATTTCGCAATTGTAGCGGCTCTGTGCGCAGAATAAGTCTACTTCGCGGGTTGAAGAGTTCAAAAGAAGTCTAAAATGTCGCACACAAGTCTGCGACATTTTGCACGTGCACCCGCCATTTTTTTTTTACATTTGTTGTAGTGGCATTTTGATGCGAAAGGCCAATTGCATTGTGCCTTCACGTGGGCTATTGGCGATCTGTGCTGTGTCATAACAGTATTAAAATGTAAAAGGAGTAAAGTAGCTCAAGTTGTCATGTCTCAAATGTTGTAAATGGGCTGCTGTAATGAAACCCTGTCTCACTAATGGGTTCCTTTCACCCTGTGGTTAAACGTTTGCACGGAGCAAGGGTGGAGAACAGTTTCCTCGCCGAAGCCCAAATAAAAATTTCGATACGTTTTGGCGAGCCACGCATCAACATGCGCGTTAGCAATTAATAATGCAAAAAAAAATGTCCAGGGTTATTTTACAATGTGATTCAAACAGTATTGCCAACTTTAATAAATTCATCTCTAGAACCTGATTAGTGCATCCAAGATGCTTCCAGCACCAGATGAATATCATGTGCAGGCCGCGTTAAAGCGGCAGGCCTCGTATTGGCGTCGTGCTGTATGAGCCTCCTCCACAAGTCCACATCGTGCACTGTTACGCTGTGTGATCACCACGCGTGTTGAGAATGTGTTTGGTAGCTTGCTTGCGCCCTCTGTGTGCAAGTACTGGTGAAAGCACACGGGATGTCGGGGTGGCACCTTGCTCCAGCCCTGCGCGCCCAGCGTGCGGTAGCGAAGTCGGTAGGTGAGCGGGAAGGCAGGGTGGGGGTTCCACGAGGTGGGTTGCTCCCAGCTCACCAATACGCTCTCCACGTCCCTCCATCTCGCCTGCACGTTGATGGGTGGGTCTGGCTGAACTGAGGCCGAAAAACAAAATTGTCACCCGCAACTCAAGATAGGAGGAAAATAGTTGTGCTGCCCCAGTGTAAGAGGGCAGCTGATTAGGTATTATTTTAAATAATTGGGATTAGTGCCTTAATGTGGTGAAGACAATTGAGAGCCTTTAAGATCAGAGGAGCTGTACTGGCTAAGGGGAATGCACACTGGTCGAATGTTCAGCGAGATGCGAGACCAAATGTGTTCCCTGTTATCAACCTGCACAGACCATCGTGGTGAAATATGGTTAAACAACAGCCCTCATTACTGTCATTAGGTACGCCGTGCATGAGTTCGTTTCTCAGTTAAGGTAAAATGTAGCTTACAGTAATAAGGGAAAGGTGCAGCCCTGCAATTACTTGCTGGCTGGCAGAAGGGCGTCCACTAGAGGGACCTCTGAAGGACAGTCTTTTCTACTCTTCCACGCTGGCCAAACGTGTATGAAGAGGTGAGCATAATCCACACTTTACCCTACCATGCGAACCCTGTACCTTTATACTGCTCAGGTGGACAGGCAAGGAAGGGCTTTTGAGAAACTTTCCCCGTTGTTTCAACTACTTGGCTTGGAGGTTGAATCGAACCACTGTCTCTGGATTGCATATCAAGTGCACTACAACCATTGAACCACAAATAAGATGACATAAAAACAGGCAAACACACAGGGTTGTACATTTGTCCTTAATGGTGTACATTCTTGCATGTTGCAGCAATCCGGTAACCATTTTTGTTTACCAATTTTGAGTGTGGTTTACACAAATTAACTTACAACCACATCTGTTATGCGGCAACGGTTGTGGCGAAGATGGTGGTAACGGTGGTGGGAAATTAATTTAATAATTGTGTTCGTGCTTCTGAATTGGATATTTGAAGTGGATTTCATACTTTTAAAAAAATCCGTATTCATTTGAGTTCGATGTGATGGTGCCTTGCATGTCAGATTTGGGTCAGAAAGGGACCACAGATTTTGTGTCTATTATATATATGTTTAAAATGTACTTGACTTGGCTGGACATAGATTCATTGTCCCCATTTGCTTTAGTGGTACACAGCAAGTTGCTTTAGCGCAGAGGTCGGAAAACCAACATAACAAGAAAAGACATTTTTTTTTCAAATCTTGCCTCAGTGTATCAAGAGCCGCAATGCAATATGAATACGAGACGGTGGGTCCTTAATAAGTAACGTCACGAAGCGATCCGTAGAGAACCGCTCACGCGGTCTCCGCAGCCGCAGGGTTGCTGGCCCCCTGCTTTAGCGTGAGCCAACCCACGTTTTGCCCTCTTGCCTCTCTTTGTTCGCTTGTGCATACGCACCGATATCTTCGAGCAGGAACGCGTGGTGGACCTCGACACTGCCGAACGGGTTGGTGGCCGTGACCGTCAGCTCGTGTGGTTGTTCCGAGAAGAGGGTCACATCTCGGCCCTGGCAGGCATTGTCTGCCACGGGCACGCACGGCAGCCAGCTCTCGGTCAGTGGATTCCTGCAGAGGATGAAACACATTACAAATTAATTATCGACGGATTGCGTTTTATTTGAACTCGCCGAGGGCCGGTTGGTATTTATTTACTTTCGCGATGAAAACCATAGAAACAGCCACGGCATATCCTTTGAAAAATAAAGAATATAATTGTGCAGGACTTCATTTCGCGTGAAATATTTTCTTGGATCTATCCCCCCCCCCCGGCGTCCCCCCCACCACCTCCCTCCCCCACCCCCCTACCCACCGACAGCGTGGAGTTGGGGGGGGGGGCAAAGAATATTTTCTGCACCACAGTCATGGACAGCTCTGGTTGACGTTAAGCTCTGCTGCTGTGGTTACATTTTAAAATGTGGGACGTTTTTTTGGGCTGCGGCGTGCTGATGCTCAAGGAGCTATTTTAGGAAAACTGCAATGATGTGTGACGAGAGCTCTTTAAAGTTCACTTCATTGAAATGTTTTGCTTTTACCGATGAGCAATTACCGAGTAAAATTTACTCGGTAGCTGCAGGACTCAAGCCGATTTTTTTTTTCTGCACGAAAACTGTATGATGATCACTTGACCAGTCAACCATCCCAAAGTACACATGGATAAAAAAAACTTGAATGTCTTGGTAAATAAACATCGACTGGCACGTAGAAAAGTTGCCTGGATGCGAAAAAGCAAACTGCGGTACAATTGGGAAATGTACAATGTTTCTATTTTTAACAAAAAAATAAACATTGCATCTAAACGCGACTGCATTTCAAGACAGGGTAAAGACCTTTGGCCGAATGTTTGAAGGCGTTCATTGTTTTTTGACCGCGAACAAATGCAGCTACTGGCCTGTAAGAGGCGCTGTAGGAAGTGTTGAGGACGTTATTGTTGCCGTGGCTGCTCGATTGCCACTCGCACTCGAATCTCTCCGGATAGTCAAAGGAGCGGCACGTGACGGTCGGCTTAGAAGGAGGATCTGAATGCAGAGAAACACACACACACAACCCGATAGATATCGTACAATCTTAACTTTAAAAAAACACACGACGTATAATGTTGTTGTACCTCTCGTCGTGTGATCGTAACCTAGGGGACAAGGCGGCTAATAGAGACAATAAAAAGAGACGACATTTTTTGGTTCTTGCGGTAAAGTCACGTAGATAGAAAAATTATTGAAAAAAATAAAGTGAATAAAAATAATAGAAGTAAAATAAATAAACCACGACGTTTCGATCGCAACGACCGCTATCTACTTGACTTCACCGAAAGAACAAAAAAATATGAATCCCTGCAGTCACGAAAGTTTCAAGTCAAAATAATAGACGATTTCGGAGGCGATGAGTGTATTACTCTGCGTTATCTTCTGCCCTCCTCTTGAGGATCGAGTGACTCCACCACCGAGGTACACCAGAGTTGTTGTGGAACTGCAACTCGTTATTTCCAAGTTTAACGGACAGTCGAGATGATTGCTCTTGCAGTGCTAAAGAGACGCTCGCTCATATTTCTCTATCAACGTACTGTATTCTCACAACTATTGTTTTACATAAGGTGGTAGTGGTCATACCGCAGAGATGTCATGGGCTCCCAATGGATGTGTTCAATCTCATCTTTCATTCTTACCGCACAACCAGTACGGAGTAGGTGGGGGGGGCAATGCTCTTGACGTTGACCGTGTTTTTGGGCTCCTCTAACACGATGCAGTTTAAACACTTAACCACTAGGTGGAGTGGATGACATCATCGTCGTCAACCATAATGATTCCACTGCTGAAATTTGGCCTCCTAGAGCTGTCGTCATTTGACACAATCTAATGAGGTTGCCACCAGTAGAATTTGTTTGCAGTCGCACGATAAAAAATTCAGTACAATACACATCTCTGTATTGCTATTCTTAGGTTTTGTCGGTAAAGTCACGTAGGTAAAAACATCAAAATTAATGTTTTTACCTACGTGACTTTACCGAAAAAAACTAAGAATATGAATCCTTGGTCACGAAAGCTTCAAATCTAGAACTCTGTATTGCTGTTTAGTTTTAAAAAGTAGCAATTTTTGTTAATTTTTAGCCAATCGCAACATTTGCTGATCACAGGCGCGGCATGAAATGGTCACATGTTCTGAGCTGGCGGGTACTATGAAATGAAAATGTAAGACTCAAGAGCTGCTATTGTAAGAAACATGTCTTTCCTGGAGGCAGATTTAACTGCACGTTTTAAATGTGCTTCTATTTAATACGACACATCATAAGACCTCGCAGGCAATGCGCCTCTGGAGATCGAGATACACACAGTGTCTCACGTCAGTCAACATCTCCGTTCTGCGGATATACAATGCAAAGCCCTGTTGTTAATCCACCGCTGGATGAAGGGCTTCCCAAACTCCACGTCAAGTCAGTCGTGCGGGTCGTTGGCCCACACCTCGCCAACGCTGTTCTGTTTCAGCTGGCTTGTAAATACACAATAAAATTAAAACCACCCAACAAACGTAGATCATCCGGTACTTACATCCCACGACCAGGCGAGTGCAACGCATGTGCCGCCGTCTCGCGTGGCCGCCACTTCTGGCTTGGCACGAGTACATGCCGCTGCTGCTCAGTGTCGCATTGAGCAGCGTGATGTGCCCACTTCTCTTGCCCTGCCGCCATGGGCTGGGGCCCCCGCGTCTCAGCGGGGCCCCGTTGAAGGACCACTTGGGCTGGATGCCAGCGGTGCCCTTGCACGGGATGCGCGCCCTGGAGCCCACGGCCGCGTACACCACGCGGTGGCGTTCACCTTGACACACGCGGGCAACACCCAAAGAGTCGATCGAGCGTCGTCATCGACAACGTGCGTATACGTGGCTGTGCATACGATCCGTGATGTAAATCCACTGCTGGATGAGCGGCCTGTGCACGTACTTTTAAATATATTTTTTCGAGTTTAGTTTGTTGTCCTTCCTCCCGCACCTTCCGATGAGCACGGTTGGCTGCATATGGTGTGAATTAAGTTCAACATACATACATACATGCATCTTGTCACGGATATTGGACTATAATTGACCACGCTGGTCAGTACGCGTCGGCGAAGGTAAGGCGATTACAGAACAACTATAGATTGACCAGATCTAGGCTGGGGATGATGAACACTTGTGCATCCCAGGTTTTCCTTGCAAGAGAGACCTTTGTTTTAATGGGCCCTCATATATATATACCAGTGAATTTAAACGGTCTTCCACTTCGTTTAAGTCCTGCAAAATGAATGGATTTAACTCTATTGATGTCGCGTCAACGAGTGTAAAATACTATCCCATCGTGGAGTTTGTGCCAACTTACAGCCAGGGCGGCGAGATCCGGCCACGTGGACGAACGCAGACTCGCTCCACTCGCTCCAGTGGCCGTAGTCCAGTAGGTCTTTGAGCGACACCTGCACCTCGTATCGTGTGCGCGGACGCAGGCCACGCAACTCCTGCTCCTCTACGCTTTCCCCGGGGAACAGGGTCTGAAAAGTACATTTCACGCGTGAGCCATTCAGTACAAAAGTGATTGGTCGGGAGCGCTGCGTTGACAGCTGTGCACAATTAACATTTGGGTTTTTGGTAGAAGTGGCTCGGCCAATGTTTACATAAATTAGGCGTTTGTTGAGAGTAGGCGAATTAAGTGGATGATTGAAACATAATCATCAATACAATTAAATCTCGGGTTTCTATCGCGCAATTTGCACACACAAAGCTTGTTAAGTAACGGATAAAGCCTGTTGTAAAAATAGGTGAATTTTAAGACACTTTTAAAAAAGTGCAACAGACTCAGATTCCTTAATGGATCCAAGAAGGGAATTCCACAATTGCGGAGACTGGTGGAAAAAAGCACAACCTCCCATCGAACAAAGTCTGGTCTTTGGAATAATGATTCAACCAAAATCAGCAGATCTAAGTTTTCGCAGTAGAATGTACAACTTAAGCAGATCGGTGAGATAATTAGGAGCCAACTCATTCAAGGCATTGAACGTGAAAATAAGAATCTTAAAGTAGATCCTGTACGTTACAGGGAAGCCAGTGCAGGGAGGAAAGAACGTGAGTAATATGGTCACACGATTTAGATCTGGTTAAAATCCGGGCAGCTGAATTTTCAAAATATTGGAGTCTATTTAAAACACCTTTAGACACGCCAGCAAGCAAAGGCCTTGTAGTAATCCAACCTTGATACGAAGGCATGCATCGGACGTTCAGCAATCGCGAATGACAGCATGTGGTCGAAGTCTAGCTATGTTGCGCAAGTGGAAAGACGAGATTTTGGTAATATTACGTACGTGGGTTTCGTGTCAAACTGGGCTGTCGGATGACACTCATTCTGCAGGCGTGTGCGAGTCGATGGCACAATCAGAAATGGATTGTAAACTTCAATTTAAAGCTTTCGTGACTGCAGTGATTCATCTTCTTGGTTCTTTCTATAAAGTCACGTAGAAGGGAAATAATAAAAAATGTTTTATTATTTCCCTTCTACGTGAAGGGAAATAATAAAAAAAAATATTATTTCCCTTCTACGTGACTTTACCGAAAGAACCAAGAGGGATTGTAAACTCTCCCACTAAAGATCATGACATTTCTATTTTACCCTATAATGTGACATGTGGCCCTACTGCCTTGGCGAATTTCAAACCATCATATGCCGAATGTCTTACACGTAGAGCAATTTGGATATACATATATTCGATGATATAAAATGTAGATGGTAAATTAAACAAGGAAAAATATACATGAACCATTTATGATCACCCCACGTCGCTTTTTCGTGTGCATTCGCGTTTCGTTTATTCAGACTTTGTTGTTTAATGCACTGTATTGTTATTGATATAGTATAGTACAGTAGACGATACATCTCCATGCTCCTTTTATAAACAATGTTGGTTTAGGAAGCCATGCGACCGCCTGCATTGTTGCCTTCAATTGAAATGCTATCCTTCCTCATTCCCACCCCTTCCCCATTTCCTCTTATATCCCCGCTCTGTCTCCGCTTCCTCCATCACCTGCCGCTTCCCCGTCGCGTTCCACTGCGCCACTGCAACTGCCTACAGTGTGCGCAGGCGGTGAGATTGCACTGCGGCCCACGCGGCACGAGTGGTCCAGTGGCTCAGGCTACATTTGGACTGGGGCAGGGGGACTCATTTCATTCCTTGCGCCAGGGCCTGTGCCAAAAACACGCGACGCTACAGCACTCCGTGGTGTACACACACACTGTATTTATCCCTTACATTTTAAACACTAAGCGGCAGCCTTTTGACAGAAATGTTGACATGGTTTTTATTATGTCTCGGCTGTCAGTGATTCTTTGTTCCAGCTTTAATAAATAAATAATTCCGCGTGATTCATCACGAGTTGGCTAAGAGACTCTAAGAATGTGTCTATGGTTATTTGACGGCTGGGGGTTTTCATGTGAGCCCCGATAAATTCTGAAATTTTACGTGCAAATCCATTTTGTCACCATTATCATCGGCCATGGTCTAGCCCAGGGGTCGGCAACCAAAATAACAAGAAGAGCCATTTCTTTCCAATTCGGTACAAAATTCAGTATTTCAAGAGCCGCAATGCATCTGAGTACATACGTACTCATCGTCAAGAAGCGGCCCGTAAAGAGCCGCATGCGGCTCCGGAGCCGTAGGTTGCCGACCCCTGGTCTAGCCACTGCTGAATGAAGGCCTTCCCAAGCCATCACCTTGGTCACGTGATGCAACAATCCATCTAGCGCCTTCGCACGAGCCTCTCTCATCACTCCATCCCCTTGATAGATTGCCCTCACGGGCCGAGTCCCTCCTTTGGCTTCCACTCCGTTGTTAGCATCGACCAGCGCCTATCGTCCCTCGGAGCGATGACGTGTCCTGCCCAAATCCCACTTTGAGTAAGAGTCAAGACGTTGTCTTTAAACTTGCGTTTGTTCCCTGATCCACGTGTTCCTCTTCCTCTCTTTCTCTCTCAGTTTAATTCGAAGCACACACACACACATTGCCAATGCTCCTCTGTACACCTTCCAAGGGTTTGTTCCACTTTTGTCGTCAGCGTCAGCGTGGAGAGACCGCAGTTATGTCACACGCGTGACCTTTGCATGTCATGTGTGACGAAGATACGCAGCAGATAAACAGTGACACATCTTGAGCACCTTTGAAAAACAAGCAGATGCCTGTGGCGCAGTGGTTATTGCGTGCATGTGCAGGGATGAGGGACTTGTTTGTACCGGTTAAATAACAACCGCACTTAGTCATGCGTTATGTTAAAGTTACGGGGGAAGATTTGTTCTGTCGTACATGAGAGTCGAAACACGTCTTCAGCGACGTGTTTAATCACAATTATTTAAACCATTTACAGCCCTTTGTTAATACGCTATTCGACAGAGATCTCCCCTACAGCGTCTGTCATGGAGGTTTATTTATACATACTTCACCACACTGGTCTGTACGGTTTGGTGATGGAGGGGGGGGGGCGTTAATTAGGATTTGTGTTTTACATCGGGCAGATAGCCACGAGATTATAATTTATTAGTATTCCTTCTCTCGAGGTGCATGCAGGTACACCGATCATGTCGGTGGTGCACGCATCAGGTACGTGTAGCGTGTCGTGGCTTTCATTTGTGTTTGAACGGAGTAGATTTATAAACATGGGGAGGCGGGGAACTGTAGTTTGGAAACCCCTGGGCGAGTTTTCGTCGTAAAGCATTGCGCAAACAGCGATATACGCACATGAGATGCAATCATAGCTTCGGTCTCGCAAGAGCATGAGTAAAGCACCGGTTATCGAGCGTTGTATACGTGCTCGTGCAAACACGTATCCGTGTTCATTTGACCACGTAAACATGCTGCATGCTGACTCATTTTCTTGACCGCGCTGAAATTGCTTCGGCGCAGCTTGGGAAAGTGAATAACGCGACGGCGTTTCCCGAGCGCTTTGACTCTGACGGGCACGGAAGGCGCTCTCGGTGCCAAGTGCGCAAGCACCGCTCGTTACGACCGTCACAGGAGTTGCGACCGCACAAGTTTGTTTCGTTCAGTTTGGCGACGCGCCGCCGCCGAGCGTACCGTTCTCCAGGCGTCCCCGCTCTCGGCGAGACGAAAGCGCAGCCGGTGTTGCAGGGGGAAGAGGAAGGGATCGAACCAGGACGCGGGCAGCCGCCACGAGACGGTCACTGCAGCGCTCTCCACGGCGGCTCTCGCTGACACGTTCACCGGCGCATCGGGCTGGACTTGGGGGTCAGAGGGAAAAGGCGCGCGCGGCGGTCAGTGACATGTAAACTCAACTGAACAGTTACATGCTAATTGTTCTCGCATTAACATCATGCTAATTGTTCTCGCATTAACATAGCCACTGCCGTGCCCTCGTCCAGGAGGCCGCTAATCCTCCTATCTTACAGTTGCATGCTAATTTCTCACATTAACATCATCGTAATTGTTCTCATATGAACATAGCCACTTCTGTTCCCTCGTCCAGGAGGCCGCTAATCCTCCTATCTTACAGTTAGTTGCATGCTAATTTCTCACATTAACATCATGCTAATTTCTCACATTAACATCATGCTCATTTCTCACATTAACATCATGCTAATCCCTCACGTTAACATCATGCTAATCTCTCACATTAACATCATGCTAATCTCTCACATTAACATAGCCACTTCCATGCCCTCGTCCAGGAGGCCGCTCTCCTCCTATCTTACAGCTACATACTAATTTCTCACATTAACATCACTAGCCCCGGCCACTTATTTATGACCCTTGGGCTACACCCATTTCAAATCTTCTAAAACAGTCTGCCTCAGCAGCAGACCATGCTTTCCCACCTGATGACGGACGCTTGTGTTGCGCCCGAAACGTCGTGATTTATTTTATTTTCTACCTACGTGAATTTACCGAAAAAACCAAAGAGTATGGATTCCTGCAGTCACGAAAGCTTCAAATCAAGATTCAACTGAACAATTAAAAATATATATATTATCCGGTAAGCCCCACTGAGCTATGCAGCTCTTTTTCAGAAGCGACCTTGCCACAAATGATAGCTCAACGAAGTAACTTGGCTTATCTCGTGGAAATGTATAGCAGCCAAGGACTCTGAGCACATGTTGTTTCTAAATGTGGAGGGGAAAAACAGGAGGGACCCAGAGAAAAATTCACGTGACCACGGGAAGGACACGCAAACGCCAAATATACATGAGGCATCTGGGTCCGGGATCGAACCCACTGACCTCATGTATACCAGACGAGGTAGTTAACATCTCACCACTGCAGCACTACATTACAATTGAACTTTCTTGCTGGTAACAGTTGGACCGTTGGCCAGGTATATAAATGGCTTCATCTTTTCGATTTAAAGCTTTCGTGACTGCAGGGATTCATCTTCTTGGTTCTTTCGGTAAAGTCACGTAGACTTTATCGAAAGAACCAAGAAGATGGCTTCATCCTGTGGAAGGCATTTTGTCGCCCCGCTTGCTAACATTGCATAGGTTTGCGAAAGTTACGTAAGGCATGTTCACGAGTTTTAGACGTGTGTCATGGATGCTTTGAAATCGATCGAGTTTGAATGTCATCTGGTTAGAGACTACCGCAAGCCTGGAGTGCTTCCCGTTTCGTCACATTTGAATAGCCGCAAAATATTTTTTCGCAACATTTGTCACACAGCGTTTGCAAATTATTAGTTTAATAAACCGGGTGATTAAAAACTGTAAAGCGATAGACTTGAGTGACTCGGCACAAGGAACCTGCCATGTACGTGTCATCATTTTAATTAAATCTATAAATTATGGAGGTAAAACCCACCGTAACAGAAAATAAATCATTACTTTAGCTCGTAGGAGCCCAGAGGGTTGGTTCGCAATCGTGCGGCACGAGACTTTGATTCAGCAGCGGCAATTAGACTGCATGTCCCGTATGGGTAACTCGGTGGTGAGCGACGTGCCCAACAGCGAGACTTACTGATGTTCTCCAGAACAAAGTGCGTGTGTCCTTCGGCGGAGCCCAACGGATTCGTGATGCGGGCCGTTACGACGTGAGCCATGGACGAATACATCATCAGGTCGCTTCCCGTGCAGGAGCGATCTCCCGTGGGCTCGCAAGGCAGGAAGGTTTGACTCATCGGATGTCTAAGAAGCAAAGCGAAGAATAACAAACAGTGCGAGCATTCAAAACAAATCCTGCAATGCGTGGGTTGAAAGGGGATATAACCTTATTCATATAAACATGAGATTCTTGTAATGTGTGTGAGCATGAGCACACTGATACAGCTTAACGTTGACCTCGGTGATGTTTAAAATAGTTTCTGTTGTGCTGTGAAACATCTCGAAGCGAGACTGATTCTGGGGAGAGCCTTTCTGGTCATGGGAGATGTCCGGCTTACTGCATTTAATGAATTCATGAGAAAATGACAAATTGTTATTTACACGTAATGAACAACATATAATTAACACTATAATCACTGAATGTTCACATTTTCTATTTAGAATGTAATAGCTTTTTTTTAATGCTACTGTGCAGTTTAATAAGAGTCACTTGCCATTGCTATGGAGCAGAGGTAGAAAGCTGAAGTTCAACTGGGTATGAATGCTAGTGAAATATTTTCATGCTTGAAGAACTCATTTTATTTATTTGTAAAGTAAATATATAATGAATGTAAAAAAATATAATTCAGTAAAACCTTGGATTGCGAGTAACTTGGTCTGCGAGTGTTTTGCAAGACGAGCAATTTTTTAAAATAAATATTAATTTGATAAACGAGCGAGGTTTTGCAATACGAGTAGTTCGTATACGATTTGTCTGCCGAACGTCACGTGATCACAACTGATATACGAGTGCTTTGATATACGAGTACTTTGGATTACAAACACGTTTCCTGAACGAATTATGCTCGCAATCCAAGGTTTTACTGTACTGTGATAAAGCACTAACAGCACTTGGATGACCAGGTTCGGTGATTTGCAAACAACAGATGAGTTTACAACTTTTCCATCTGTAGCACACAAATGCACGTCAGTTGTCGTTATTGCAATGGTCAGGGACAGCGTCTTACAATCCCCAGTGTTAAGCCATCGGCAATTACTTCACGCAGATCATTTAGCACGTGAATAATGTTCCTGAGCGCAGGCTATCAAAATTGTTTAACTGCAAGAGCGATTACATGAAAATCGGTGGCACAAAATGACTTTTCACGGACATTATAAGCAATAGTGTCCTCTTTAAAAAAACTCCAAATAATATAAAATGTGAAAATGAAGTAAAAACAAACTTTTAAAATCATATTTTATATTCTTGGTTCTTTCTGTAAAGTCATTTTCTATCTACGTGACTTTACCGAAAGAACCAGGAATATGAATTCCTGCAGTCACGAAAGTTTTAAGTCAAACTCATATTTCATAATAAGTAATGTTTAGTGAAGTTAATCCACTACATTATTTATGTATAGACACCCTTGAATGGAAATAGCCAAACATCCCCAATATAGGTCTACAGAGCTTGGGAAATTGTTGCCATCGGACCTGGCCACCTTCCCACGCACCGGGGTTATATTTTCCCTCTCTGGAGTGAGTGAAGACTGTGCGTTACAAACACTGAATTATTACGAATTATTCACAGTATTGAAGAGGCAAATATAGAATTACAACACCGTTGGCATCAATCATTACAAATGCGGTATAGTTTCACATTTCATTTCATGGAAGTGACCTTACCTAAAATTGTTTTGTCGTAGTAATTTCTACGGGTTCAAATTTTTTCACGTATTTTGTTAAAATCCGTGAATGAATGAGGCTTTTGTACCGACTCCTGTAGAGGATTCACCCGCTGACATGTATTGTGGCACCAATCTCCTCACTGTGATTAAGCCTGTGAGCGCTCACTTTTGGCATTATCTCGCTGGTGGAAACCCCCCTTATGGGGAAATCTGTAATATTATCACCCAAGTTTCCATGAAGCCATGAAGCGCGTCCTTGCTTTTCCCCCGAACAAGGCGGCTGTGTAATTGTTCTATTCTCAGCAGCTGCCACTTGATCCCGCTGCGAGCTTGCCTGTAGGTAGCCGAGACGTTTGTCCGCAGCAGCGTGTCTCTTCCAGCTTCCCATGTGCACTGGAAGCTCTCGGGGTAGTTGTATGAGCGGCATGTTATGTTTGGCTTCTCCGGGTGGTCTGCATCGAAATAATATACAACGGCAAAGGTTAACATTTGCTTTCAATAACACGTTCAAACAGTTTTTAAAATATATATATATAATATATAAAGCAGATGCTGTGCACAGAAATTCCACGCAATGTTAAACATTAACCGCGATATTTTTTTTTTGGAGCAGCGTAAATGTTAAACACACGTACTGGTTGTTCAACTCACATCCGACTTCCAGAAGAATACGATCCACCTCTTTCCCAGAAGCGTGCGAGTGGCAGCTGTAGGTTCCTGCACTGGCCGGGCTGGTGCTGCCGAGTGTTAGATGGGCTCCGTCTGCCTTGGCACTTCCACCGAGGCTCAGGACATCTCCGTTCCACCGCCATGCAATGTCGTTGCCTTGGAGGCGTCCCTCGGCAGGGCCGCAGGTCACGGTGATCGGCGAGCCAACTGCACCGTACACCCTTCTTACTGCTGGGTCGGGGGAGTCTGTGGAAAGAACACGTGGCACACGCAGCATGCGGGTTCTCAAAACTGTGAATGGAAACAGGGCCACACGCTTGCCCTTGCGGTGCCTACAGAGGACCACAGTCCACTTGCAAGGCTGCAGTCATTTCATTTAGTCACGACTTTTCAATGAGAGCTGACCGCTGCAGTCTGACGCCTCACTGGAGTTGTGTTACATGGTTAAACATGTAAATGCCATTACGAGGTAAGAGTCGATGTAAGTTTTTATACGATATGTTTCGTGACGATGTCGTTAAACTTGAAAGATATATTATTGCGTAAATTGTGAATCGAGTCGTCTCGCACTGTTATGGTTATCTGTGGTTAAGATGCCTCCATAATGATTGCTGTGGTTCCTAAGAGTTTGCGTGGAGCACGCAAAAAACACAAGTTAATCTTTGTATTACAAAAAACCATGGTCGGAAGCAATTGGTATACAGATGGGAAATATGTTATCCTAAATTCGCAAAATTTGTGGTGTGCGGTTTTCTCTTTAGAAGTCTTGAGAAATTGTAACAGAACACATGCCGGGCATTGATATTTCTAACATTTCGCGTGAAATGTACGAGTACATACGTGTACAGCGAAATAAATTTAAAAAATAGTTCTTAATTTGTGTTCAAAGACCAACTTTACCATTTAGAAAAGTTGACGGAGATAATGTTTCGCGAAACTTCAGCACAGAGAAGGAAAAAGAAAATAGATACGCGAGGAGTTGGTGCCACAGCTTTTTTCCGTAAAGACTGACACGATGCGGTGTGAAAGCTTTAAATTAACACAGATATAGCATATCAATGAATTGGAAAACATACATGCGTATCAAATGATCAACTGTACTATAAAAATGAAATTTTGATTTTGTGTGAATTTATTTGTTCGTTTTACAAAAATATATTTAAAAAACACTTTTTATCCCTTCTACTGCACGTGACTGGAATTGTAGGCATAAACTTTGAGTTCACGATTAATACATTCTCAAGTATTGTTTTTGATTGTTCGTTTATTGCATTTATAGTTTTTTTCTCTGTTTATTATATATTTGTTAATATTTGGTTAGATTTGGGATGGCGGGGGTCTCGCAAAGAGTTATTTAATTTACTGGAAACTGATGAAGTCATCTGAACCCTAAAAAAAAATCAAGGCTTTTATGAGAAATATACATTTAAAAATTATCAACACTTTATGAAGACGTAATGGCTACGCTGATATTGCACAATGAATGTACGAAATAGTAAATCAGAGGGAGTCATACAGGGAGACGTGCTCTCGCAAATACCATTCACAGCGACTTCAGTATAAATATTTTTTCTAAATGATGAGAAAAAAGTGTAAACGTCAATGCAAAAAGGATTTACAATCCGATATTTACACCATTGGAACCTCATTTGCCAGTAAAAAATATGATAATTGGTTTTTTACCCTTCTATCTGGCAACAAAACTGTCAGATCCGATATTTGCTGACAACGCAGTCATTATAAACAATGAAAATGCACTAGTTATTATATAACTTTGCAAAGTGGGGTTTAAAGTTGGGCTAAAGTAAAAAAAAACGTGGGCCAAACAAAAGTTGCATACACCAAGTTCACTAAACAAATGGACATATCCATTGCAGGGACACAACTGGAATGCACATCGGAGTATGCGCACACAAATGCACAGTTAGTAGACTTGCCTTTAAAAGCATTGCATCATAAAACATATAACAGCTTGCATGTATTTTAGTATGTCCCACAGTAGTTGGCAAACGTTGTGCAATGGTTTGGATGCTTACTTGGCAGGCTGCTCTCCACCACAGCTCCAAGGAGGAGGGTGACGTGAATCAGGAGTTTCTCCATCTGCAAGGCGCTGGCGAGTGGGCACGACCTTGCAGCCTTTCGCCTTGCGCCGACAGAAAGCAATGACACATTTCCCGCATCTCCGATTAGCACGGTTGGTTACGTACGGTGCGCAAAAAGTTCAACATACATACATGCATTAAAAACACACGCACTCGCTCTTATACGCCATAGCTGGTTAAAAAACAAAGAACACGTTGCTTCATTGAAAATTAACTCGTCCATTTTTATTAACCGCCTGGTAGTAAATTTGAGCATCTAGCTAAAACGCAAAATATGTGAGTGTTGTTTTTTGTATACATTTATTATGTCTACATATATGAATAAAAAAAAAGCCTTGTTAAAAATAATGAGAATATGGCACCCAATAATATTATTCATCTCTACCGACATCATCGCTTGAGAGCCATGTGGCATTTGGTTTTTACCTTTTGCCTGCCACAGACAAATGGTGGGCGCCTAACGGTTACCACCGGTCCTGACTAAAAATAAGTGGATACTCTTCGTATTTATATGCGTTTATTAATTATATTAAATAAAATCAAGAAGTTGTTAATCACAAATCAATTTATTTAAACTCGACATTTCCAAGAAATTCATTGCGGGGGGGGGGCATATGGGGTGCGTGGGTTGTGGGATGTGGAGGGAGGGGCTGTGTGGGGGGGGGGGCATTTAGATGATTCAATGCATTTACAAAAGGTAATGTAGTGGCAGCACGCACATTGTTGTATTTGACGGCTAGAAAAGTGTTTGTGTATTTTTTGGGAAAATTTCCAGTGTGTTCACTTGATGGGCAGGTAAGATGTAACCACGTCACTGCCCCGCGAACATTGCAGAGCTCTTGAAAATTATCATAAAAATGTTACATTCAAAATTGTCATTAAAAATTGTCATTAAAATTGTCATTAAAATTGTCATTAAAAATTGTCATTAAAAATTGTCATTGCAGAGCTTTTAAACATTCTCAGAACCGTTCATCGCGCCGTGTCACATCAGCATGTTTTGTGCACGCAGGACATATTAAACAACAAACACATTGTGGAATAGTACAACTATCGCAGCCTATGCTATTGGAGCATTATTATGCGGTGATCACCAACTGTGTTGGATTATAACTTTTAAAAAACGTGTTTTTGTTTGTTGATTTATATGTAGAGAAAAATATATAGCACGTTACGTGAATTAGATAATTAATTTGACATGCTCTTCCTCGACTTGAAGTCATCTATTTTTGAGAACAACCCGTGGGATTTTTTAAATCAGGGCTTGGTTTTGCAGTTGTGTTTTACAGTTGCGTCCGCGATATGCTCAGGGTGAATGGTTTCGAAGAATCCACCTTTCTGAATAACGCTGATATTAAAACAGTAAGAATCAGTGCTGTGTAGCAGGCCATTGGGCGTTTTATTGTTATTTAATAGAAACTGTCTCTATATCACCACACGATTTTCGCAATCGCTCCTTGTGTTCAGATCTCCTGTTCAGATCTCCTGTGTTAACATTTACTCGTAAAATTATAAATTTCCCCCCAGTTATGTCATCTCTTAATAATTGACTGGGAGTTAAACAATGATCAACTTGTTTAATGCAATACCAATTAAAAAATCCCTTTTAAGGTTTATTTTATTTTATTTAATATACGGTGCTTTCCATTCCACAATAAATAAAAATTCGAATTATTCACAGCTTAGTAATGCTTGCAAAAATGCCAACAATGATGGTCATTTTACCCTTCCGAGCATTTCTCCCTATTTGGAGTTGCCTTCTTGAATTCACGCACAATAGAGGTTTTTGTTTTAATGCGTTGGCCCACTCATCGCAGAGGTTCCCGGTTCGAACCCAGTGACTGCCCCGATCATTACCTCGGGCGTCGGGGCCGTGGTTAGAAGCGGTCTGCTTCCCGGTGCTCGTTAAAGATTCCCCACACGTCATTCGCAATAGTTCGGGCATTGTGTGTCAAGAGTCAATGGTCCAAATCTACCAAATTAATCAATTGGCCTTAGACATAGCAATTAGCGCCGCCTACTGTGAGATTATTATCATGCTGAACAAAACTAAACTGAACCTTTTTACTGCAGTGTTTAATTGACGAATATTCACGTGAAATTACGTTTAAATAAATACAACATTTTACAGCCCTCTGTCAACGCACTTGCAGGTGAAAGTCTCCGCACGCCTTTCGCTCGTGGGAATTGTTTTGACGGTACTTCAACTAACCTGGCGAGTGTGAGCTGGTGGATGGGGGAGGACAGGGACCACTTCTTACAATGTCAACTCGCCACTGCCGTTAGCCGTGGCTGGGAATCGAACTCAAGTGGCTGGGTTCACAGAGCGCACCGCAGCTCTACGTCATCGTCATTGTATCTGTAAACATAATTGCCACTATGACTGTTAATTTTTCCCACTTACAAGGAATATATTTTTGTTCCTTTCTGTTAACAGTTTAAAATCATTTAACAAGAATATTTACTCGACATGCCGGCTCATTCCTAATCGTTTACCGGCAAGTGCCGGGCTCATGTTCGAGAAATGCACAGTCACTAAACGAGACTCATTTTCTGCTGATTCAAAAAAAACAAAGAAAACGCTGCGCAACGCAGATGTCATTCAACATTCGCACTTGGCTCTGGTGACGGCTCGTGCGATTCTGCGATTACGAAGCCACAGCGGCTTACCGTGGACTTACGATAGCTGCACATTTTTTTTTGTGTGTTCTCAAGGAAAGTCTGGCACCTCGCCGTTTACGTACGTAATTTACATATCGAGAGAAAAACGAGAGTCACACAATTTCAGATGGTTCATTTGCCAAATAGTAATCGCTGCTGATAAATGCGGGGCATAATGAAATGTCAAGATCTTGGTTCAGCTTCTAGTCTGCGTGCCTGTATCGTGATGCCTGCAGAACAGTGTTAACTAAACCTTAGCATCTAACACAGCCTCCTGTTGTAAATATATCTTTCTTCTAGACATGTTTCATCAGTTTTTTCGGTTAAGTCACGCACTTACGTGACTTAACCTTGTTCCTTTCTGTCACTTACGTGACTTAACCGAAAAAACCTAAGAATATGAATCTTTGCAGTCACGAAAGCTTCAAATCTAGAATTATGTTTCATCAGGATGAGAGGAAATACACGGGTTAATTATATCAATCAAACTGCACTGTCCATTTCTTTGTTAGTTATCTCTTTAATTGAAGTGGTGGCATCCATCGAATTATTTCATTTGCTCTGTCCTCAGAAAATTCAAGACGAGAAGCGATGACCGGCTGAACGGATGCAAGTTAGACATTAGCATAGCCAAACATGGCAAAGCATAAACAACAAAACATCATTTGGAGTTGGGTATCCTGCCGAGCCCCATCACTGCCTTCTGCACTGTCACTCGTGCATCTGGGCATGGATTCTGCAGCGTGGTCTTTGTGTTTTCATACTCGCATTGGGACAACTAATCTAAGATGACGCTGATAATATAATCGAGACAGCGAGGGCGGAACATTTAGCGCGACGATTAGAAAACGGTGCGATAAGAAAACGGATGGCTGAAGGCTAACCGCGACAAGGGAGTCTGTGGATACGTCTCATACGATGCAGCGTGCACTGAGCGGAGCTCTGAAGCATCCAGGAAGAAGCCATTAACTTTGACATACAGCTGTCGCTCGCGCATGTTATATGAATGGACGTATTTGAAAGAAAATGCCCATTCAAACTAAACGCGAATGGAGCGTGGAATTCCTCGAAACATTTTACAACTTTTAGTTGACGAATCCGTTATCTTCGATAGAAAAAAACAATCTGCTCTATTACCTCAGCACTGAGTCGGTGGGTGTCATGCGAGTATGTATAACTGTGACCTTAGATGATGTCAAAATGTACGCAAGAGGATGTTGACCTATTGTGGGGGGGGGGGGGGGGATTTTTTATGTTGGTCAAATTCTGCTTAAAAAGCGCAGAGGTTTTGACAATTCCGTTTTTTGAAAATGACCTAAACATCTGCCTTTAACTATTGTGTGTGAGGAATACAATGAAATATAAAAAAATCTACGACCGCTACATTTCCTGTGACCAATTCACTCGTTGGGGTGCCCTTCAGGATGACTCTGCCATCAGCATCTTCCAACACTTGTGGTCTTGGAACTTCTGGAGTAGTAGTAATAATTATTAAAATGTTTAATGCGCACTCCATCCTAGGATCTTAATGCGCAATGCATGAAAAGCAGAAAACAAAAACAGAACTAGGGCAAGCGAAAATTGTAAGAGGGAAGGCCACTAAGAAATGGGCTTTCAAAGCAGATTTAGATATATCTACCAACTCTGATGTCCTCATTTCAAGTGGCAAGGCGTTACATAGCTTGGGTGCCACGCTAACAAAAGCCCGATCACCAAAAGAGTGCAACCTAGACCTGGGAATGCTGAGTAGTTGTAGATCAGAAGATCTTAAGGACGTTGATGGAATCTATTCATGTATTGATTCAGGAAAGTAATGTGGGGTGAGCCCTTTTAAAAGCAGTATATGTTAATAGCAGTATCTTAAAATCCACTCGGAATTTGACTGGTAGCCAATGAAGGGATAAGGGGGTGTAATGTACGTAGTGTAAGCACTCAGCAGCTGCATTCTCAACATGCTGGAATTTGCCCAGGACTTTGTCCGGTATCCCAACCAGTGAGACGTTGAAGTGGTTGAGTCGGGATAACACAAAAGCATGGACCAGTCTATCCAAGTCAGCATGTGACAGGAAGTGATGCATCTAGCAATATTTCTTAGGTGGAAAAAGGATATTTTACCACCTTAGATATATGTGCCTCAAAGGATAATGACTGGTAAAACTGAACACCAAGGTGTTTTTTGGGATTGACATTGTAACCATCAATCAACTGAACGAGGCGACCCAATTTCAGAAAGATGCAGAGGGGAGCCGATGAATATGGCTTCGGTTTTATCGGCATTTAGTAGCAAAACGTTTTAGCGCAACCATGAATTCACTACTGGTTAGTGATGCGGATAGCACAGGAGATGCTGTTGCATAGTCTGTTCCTAACCAGATACAAATTTGAGTATCATCTGCATCGCAATAGTAGGATAAGCCCAGATGGTGCCATGTAGATGCTAAAAACTGATGGGCCAAGCACAGATCGCTGTGGAACACCACAGAGAATCGGTCTAATTGGTGATTTGAATGTATCCTTTGTGACGTAGTACCTACAATTCTTTGAGTAAGAGAGGAACCACAACAAAGCTATGCCAGAGATTTCCATTGAAACTCCAGTTGCTCAAGGAGAACCCCGTAATCAATGGAGTCAAATGCCACGCTTAGATCCAGCAGAATGAGGAGACTGACAAAGCCTTCATCTGCTGATAAAAGTGTAGTGGGTGCAACTGAGTCACAGACGTTGTTCCTTTTAGAGGCAACACTTTTATTCGTAACACCGTAACACAAAGGGGTAACTGCCCCTTTACCAGACTACAGCGAGTTACTGCTATGAAGGG